TTATTAAACCCAAGAACGTGTACTTGCATCTGTGATCATACTAAAGTATAAAAGAATAATACTGCATAAAAAATTAAAAAGGCGAATATAAAAAAAGAGTTTGTTTGTCCAAGAATAGAGAATAAAAACTAGAGGGCCGAATCGCCACAACGTTTCCAAAAGTCACCATGGCCCTGTTGTAAAGATTATCTTTGTTATTTCAGTGAAAAATAATGCTCTCATTTTGTTCTCAATTTAGTCTCAAAGGTAACAGCTCAACAACCATACCCGATTCCACTATCAGTAATGTTGATATGCTGTACTGTTCTATATATATTTCCTTGTGTAAATATCATCTATCCAAGCAACCCCCGAGTCCATAATTCAGTCCACACGAACATATGAGTGACTGCATATTTTCGGAAATTCTATCGACGACATAATGCCTTTGTCAGCAAACACAATCTATCATAATTTTAAGTCAAATGTTGATTAATGTTTTTCATACGAATTTTAGGCCTTTATTTTCACGCCGATTTGTCTAGTCTACGGATTTTTCCGATTAGTAAGCCCACGGCAAAGAACATGAAGTGACTTCTTGGACGGTACCGTTGTCAGACACCTTTAATGTTAAGCATTAATCTGTTTCGTTGTCATGAACATACAGGTGTTCTTATGATAAAATCCGCCCGTTGTCATTCAAAACATCCAAACATTTTACTTACACTGTAAAAACTGCGTTTAGAAAATAAACACTTCCATTACATGTTTAGACCTAAACATGTTTAAGATTGTGTTTAACGGCTAAACACTTATATCTAAGCATGTATTATATCTAAACGTGTTAAGATTTAAGACATGTTTAGATTTAAGTGTTTAGAAATTGAACACTTTCTGTGACAAACAGAGTTATCTTCCCGGAAATGACGCGTAATATATTTGAACGTTAATAGAGCGGTTATCGAAACAAAGTAAATTCCAGTGTAAGCCGAAGAAGATGGATTAAAGGCTGCAAATCATAACCAAAGTGATAACCTGGAAGGGATTGTGAGAGGCATGTGAAAGGCAATATTACCACAATAAAAGGTCTGCTTACTTTTAATATTTTGACATAAATTGACTAGAATGAGAAACGTAAATAAACATGCAATTACACAATTGTAGATCAAGATCTCCTTCTTTAATTTTTGCATTCTGAAAGCTAGAAAGGAGCTATATAGAATGTCATTGAAAATATCTATATCGATATCAGTATTATACATGTGTATGTACATAATAGTTAAATGGATTTCAATAAAAGTTGCATAATATTAGTTAGTTTAGCTATCAGTCAGCAAGGGGCATATTTTTAGTATAATTTCATTCTTTCTGACAGGATATGGTCCAGATCGAAGCAAAAATACAGGTCTCAGAGTAGCTGGTGTCCATTTCCAAGTCCACGCAATTGTTGATACATCTTCAGCACTTCTTGTATTTTGGAGGAAACTGAATTTTGTGCAGTCTGTTGTTTGGTATAGTTTTAAACAGCCACAAAACATTCGTATAATGGAAATGGATTCCTTTCTGGCAGTCTTGGACGAAAACATATGACCGTGTGTTTCCAGTGAAAGACTTGCCGGAAATTAATAAACTTGATTCTTTAATTTGTTAAAGACATGAGGAATAATTGCATGCTTGCTGAGCTGAATAATATTGAAACGAGCAAAAAAAAAATTACATGTTTAGACCTATATGTATATTGAATTTAAAATTCTTCAAAATAAATATACAAGTTTGAATATTCAATCATGTTATGGTTAGCTGTTTCTTTCCTGAAATATGGGTACTTTTCAAGTTCAAAGTTTGGTTTTTGTACGAACATGTAAACACCAGTTCTTAAATATGCTAACGTATTTATAGGAAACTTATTTAATAATGTTTTTCTTATAAAAATATGTTTTTCTGCGACAGTTTATAATTTAAACTATTGTGTTGGATCTAATGTTGTGGAACTAAACATGTTTAGCAACTTAACACTTAAATATTGATGTGTTTAGAAATGAGACGTGTTTAGGGCTAAACGTGTAAAAAAAGTGAAACAAAAAATGTGTTTAGATATAAGTGTTTAGGGGTTAAACATGTTTAGCAACTAAACACATGAAGTCTAACGTGTTTAGAAATGAGACATGTTTAGACCTAAACGTGTAAAAAAAGTGATACAAAAAATGTGTTTAGATTTGCGTTTAGATTCTAAACACAGTTTTTACAGTGTAATGCCTAAAATATGACGTTTTTGACCAATTCTAAGAATAAATTAAAATTTTGGGAAACAGATACAACATTCAGTATTCCATACATAGACTGATGAATTTGATATCCACAATACATTTTGAGAAGTTTTGGTTGGCGATCACATGCTCATATGTGGATCGTCATCTGGAAAATAATATATTTCTTTTGTTTGATTTATCAAAATTGTCCATTCTAAGAAATGTATGGGCAACTGACAGAATTTTGGATATAAAATTCTTTGAGAAATGGCAATAAGTAAAAAGTCTATTGTCAGTGCATGTTGAGTTTAATTCGTCCGGTGTCATTCTTCTTTACATGTAAATTTATCAATAAAATGCTGCAGAAATGATCGATCAAAATATATATTTGATCTTAAGGTAAACGAATCATATTGTATTAATACTGCATAAAGTTACTAACATTGAAAAATTTCACCCCAGGAAGGCCATTGTCAAGCAAGGTGTAGCCAAAGTTGAGAATTGTTTTTGAGGCGGTAAAAATGTTACCCTCAACTACACGTTGTTTTTATTATACTGAATGTTTCATACAAAGGAATATAAAACTTAAGCGTACGCGATAACATTTTGTCAATATTTTTGGAATACCATACGTCGTCAAGCAATGTTGACTGTTGCTACGATGGACATAGTTCCATCGTTCAGAGAGTAAACGCGTTTTTTTAACAAGTGTTTCTCAACGTCAACTAATTTACAGGAAAGTATATTACAACTTATTTGAACCTCGGGTCGTCTTAAAGCAACTCAAACTAACCTGAAACTATTTAGGGATGATTTTTTTTCTTATTTTCAATGCATGCCCCATGCAATAGCCTTGTCTGCAATATGTGTCCTATTTCTGCATAAGTCGGTCTGATAATTTTAAAACGTGACTGATAATCATGAAAGTAACTTTGAACTATATTTTTTGCAACACTGAGTAGAGTTTTCAGTCGAAAAGTATAAGATAATGGACTTCTCGTGATATCCATTTTGCTCTTTTAGGACCTTTTTCTTTTATATACCGGTTATTATACCCCCCGCTTGAAAAGCGGGAGGGTATATAGTAATGGACGTCCGTCCGTCTGTTACGCTTTGGGGTACCCATCTCTTATCCGCAACTCCTCTCATACCACTGAATGAAATTTGATGAAACTTTCACAGAATCTTTATTACATATTGCCATTGTGCACCTCCTATTTTACTTTTTGATCCGACACATATTTTGGGTTTCCCGGCCACAGGAAAACATAGACTTTTTCACCAGTTATAACCATATGGGAGGCGGGGGGTATCTTTTAGTGAGCTCATCGCTCACAATACCTCTAGTTTAAAATTATTGTGTGAAATATGTGGAAATAACAAACAATATTCAACCTCAAAAGTCCAGTAAGTAATACAAAAAGGAGCTTAGCAAACACAGACCTCCAAAACATTAGGTGAGATCAGGTCCCATGGAGGAGTGAGAATCCCCTGCCGACCGCTCACAACTACCTCATACTCCTTGTAATGATCGGGAAATGCGGGAGAATCTGTCGACAATTCTCTGTGTACATATAATGGATAAAACAATTACAGGTAGTATGAACGTCCGTCAACATTTGACTTAAAGATAGATTGTATTTGCCGACATGATCATTGCAAAGACCATAGATTTTCCGAAATGAAAAACGAGGATGAATAATTATATTCTTGTTTCAGCAACTTGCTTGTCAATAACTTACCTCATTTTAGAAATTGTTCATATGTATAGAACATGCTCTTCCGTATGGAATCAACTGAGAGATATATACTCAGTAAGCAAGTGACAAAGGAATATTGATGCGTAAGTAAGGAAGGTTGACGATTGAAAAATTTAGTCGAGTTAAAGGCCACAGCAAGTGTTTTCTTCTTTTCACTTTTATCACAAAGGACAAATTCTGCTTCATATGAATACAAAAAATAGGTCTGCTAAATAACGGGGCTCAATTAATACCAACGGGAATCCCAATAGATTCTTGGAAGACCAAACACCACATAGATACTGTCAATTAAACACTCAAGCATCTTTTTTCATGTCAACTGTAGAGTAATGTGTACAATCAAGAGTTTTTAACAAATTCATTTTGCAAATGACCAATGAAAAGATACAGTAAGTAAATTAACGAGTTCCATTTTTATTGAAAAAGCAGCTGTCAGTGATATCAAAAAGCCTGAATTTTAATTTATCGTGGGGAATGGTTGTGTATAAAGTTGATAAATCGTTAATTTTAAGCTGTTGGTATTGGCAAAGTCTTGCGATTTCATATTTTTCAAAAATTCCTCAAAAATTTTAAGTATCCACATCTGATTTACATCACTTCTCGAATAGATAGTTTATTCAGAATATAACTCTGGGCAATACAGCCCATCAATTTACAAAATAACAAATATTACATATATATGATACAATGTATACTAACTTTATATCGTTGCACTGTACCCTTGAGGTTTCTCCTTTACTACTGTTAATGAGGAGTAAAGAAAGAGGCTTTGTTGAACATGTACTGGAACACGCTATGTATGTTTGTAAGGATTTTTATGAAGTTTCGTAATCAAATATAGATATGGTAATTCAAATTCGTTTTGATTGTTGGAAATATTAAAACTGACTTATGATTTCATAGAAAAAGATGTTTGATAACCACTTGTAGAATTAAATCTAAGTTCCTCTAAAACATAAAATACGTAATTTATAAGAATAACCGTTTATATTATATATTATTATATATCACAGGTGTGGTTCTTGCAATAGGACTTTCCCTTGGGTAGTGGGTGCCATGAATTTTGACCCTTTGACCTTGACTTTGGTGTTCGACCCACTTAAACAAAAACATAACCTTGGTCACGACTTCTGGACAGTTTGTGTTCGAGCTTTCATATTACACAGATATATTCACTGAGACAAGTCCTTTCTTTGGAAAATAACATTTTCGAACTCTAGTTTATGACGTTCGCGCCAACATTTGTTATACATGATTATATTTTGCTCTATTTTACTCTACTGTAGAGTAGCTGCTAATTACAGTAAATTAATCAAATAAATTTAAGATAATTAAAAGTTACATGTACCTTAAAAATTAACCTAAAATTTTATTGAGTTTGGCGAAAACTTACGCGATTTTTTTCTTTCTGTCGTTTATTTAATTTTCTTTGATTTTCCAAAAAATAAAACACCAATATTCAAACACAGGTTGTCTAAAAACACATAAAAATTAGACATTGAATACAGTAATAATGAATTTTGATTTCTTATCAAAGATGCAGCAAGTCTTGATCGATAGACTACCCGTGACTTATGAATTATGAAATACGGTAATGTACATGTACTTTAATTTAGGCAATATGAAGTACAGTGCAGGAATTTCCATATTTTTTTTTCTTTTATTGAATAGATATATAAATTAACACAGTTAAAATAACAAAATACACCTGTAGAAAAACTTCGGCAAAGCGGCTTCCAGTGGCGGATCCAGAAATTTTTAAAAGGGGGGGGCCGACCAGTTCTAGGTCAGGGTAGGGGCCCGAAGCCACACCCAAAAACAATGATTTATTAAATATTGTGTATTTTTTGGACTCAAAAGGGGGGGGGGCCCGGGCCCCCTGTGCCCCCCCCCTCTAAATCCGCCAGTGGCTTCTCAAACAGGCTAATTTCATGAAGCGATCACGGAGAATATGCCTGTCTGTATGAACAAAATGGTGGCGGTTATCCGAAGTCGTGACATATATTTACAGTATCTGGGTTAACACATGCATTATGTGGATGTAAGGTTAAGTGGGTACAGAAATGTCAATGATTCTATGTCAGCAGGTGTAAAATCGTATGCTTTCTTACCTTTTGTTATTAGATTTTTAAAAAATCCAAAAATTGTCTACAAAATATCATATACCACAAAACAATGAATAAAACACTGTAATAAACACACGAGTAATATGTGTTTAGTGATGAAAAGGTTCACTAAGGGCCATTTTGACCCTGTGAATTTCTTAAAAAGTGAACTGAACTTCTTAGTTAAATATCTGACAATGCAAACTTTTCATTTAAACCCTTGGTGACGCTTTCTATCAAAATGACGCAATTTCCTGGCTAGCCAAATGCATTAACGTTATGAATTGTGACATTTTTCCGAAATTGAAAAATCTTTTAAAAATTGTAATCTTTCAAGTTATTCTTCAACATTTATATAGAAGTCAACGTCTGATCTAAACAATGCGATTACTAAATGGCACAACTGTTTCTGCAGATTTAAAAAAAATTTTGACTAGAATATTATGGATCGAGGAGTGTGCTCATTTTTTTTCTTCGCTGAAAGTACTCAAATAAAGCTGATTCCTAAAAATTCAAAAGCACAGCAATTTCATGAAGCGTGTTGTCTAATATCTGGGCTTTCAGACAAAAACTTTGTAATAGGAAATGAAAGTACTAAATCTATATTTTATCTTGATGTTTGAAATGGAAAATAGAGGTTTAGTTAATAAATTGCCATATCTATAGTGCCATTTTATGCATAAAGCGAAACTTAGCTCATTTAAAATATATCTTTGAATTTACTTCCTAGACTCAAAACACATGTAAATTTTGAAGGCTTAAGAAAATGAAACTATTTTTGGTTTTTATTATTTTAAAGGAGAGCTTTAAATTAATATGCCAAGTATTATTCACAATGCACAACATTCATTAAAATAGATGGGGGATATTTCTCGACATAACTGAACATTGCTCAGATTATTCTATTATGATCGTAAATAGTATCTAAAGAAAGGTTGTTCAATAAAACATATGGAGATAATGAACAGTATTCCAGATCAAAAGTCCATAAAACAATACAAAATAGGAGCAGAGCAAACACGGACCTCCAAAATATTAGAGCTGGGATCAGGTGCCATGGAGGAGTGAGCATCCCCTGCCGATCGGTCTCACCCGCTATGTGCTCATTGTCATGATCGGAAAATAACGGAAAAATCCGTCGTCAATTCAGTGTATAAATAATGGACTTACAATCAGTATGAAAAACGTCAGTCAGCATTTGACTCAATGATTAATTGAATTAATTGAATTTGCTGACAAGATGGTTGTATCGACCATAGAACTTAAGGAATGATGACTTTAAACGAGAATGTTGAAATTCTTGTTTCATCAACTTGTTTGTCAATAATTTACCTCGTTGTAGAAATTGTTCATACGTAGAGCATGCTCTTGAGTATCTAATCAACTGAGATACTTATGTAAACTCCGTATGCAGGTGATGAAGGTATATTGCTGCATAAGTAATAAGGGAAGTTGACGATAGAAAAGTTAAAGTAATCACGTTTAGCATAGAGCTTGGTTGTTAGATTATTATTATTAACGTCTTTTTCCAGTAAAATATCTAAATATGAAACATGTGTCAGAGTCTGTGGTATCTTTTATCTCTAGCTCACCAGGATATATCGTATCGACATAAGAATGGAAATTACCATTGTTAATTGACAGTACGTCGTCGATGTGTCTAAATGTCGAGTTAAAGGCCACAGCAAGTGTTTTCTTCTTTTCACGCATAAGATTTTGCACAAATTCTGCTTCATATGAATACAAAAATATGTCTGCTAATAACAGGGCGCAATTGGTACCCATTGGAATTCCAATAGATTGTTAGAAGACCTGGAGTCAAAAAACAACACAGATATTGTCATTAAGAAAGCCAAGCTTCTTTTTGATGTCGACTTCAAAATACCTGTGTGTACAATCAGAATGCTTTTTAACAAAATAACTTTGCAAATGACCAATGACAAGGTAGGTGATTTTTATCATTTAATCTGATTACTCTAGCTATTTCTCTTCCTAACCATTCATGAAATACCCGGGTTGTAATCAAGACGCCATTCTTCTTACATTGAATACATCACAGTTTTTTTCAACGTTGTTGTTTATATAACGTTGCAGTAAAGAAAGAAGCTAGAAAAGTTATTCATAAAAAGAAGTGCCTGTTTGTTTTATGACCATAACGGCTAAGTATCATTGTATTTCTATCGGAATATTATTTTCATATATCTTTTTTTTTCTTGGATGTATGCAGCATCATATCATGAAAATGTTACTATTATTACATGAAGATATATTATGATGTCAGATTTATCATTATTCTGAAAGTAAATATTGCTTAAGATCAGCGCTATATATGTTCTTGCCCGATCGGCGAGATATTTGAGATTATATTTGATAGATTTTTTTTAAATCAACAAAAAAATTATGTCCAACAAATTGTTTTAACCCTTTGTATACCGGTACATGTAAAATGCTGCCTCTTTAAATATAAATGACATACACTTAAACACACATTGTAAGAAAAGGTTTATTTTTAAAAATGTTTCGTGCACTGTTTCAGCACAGCAAAAGTTCAACCGGTCCAATTTTTTGCCAGATCTGTTAGTATACTTGCTGAGTACAAGTGCAGTTTAAAGCTTTAAGCGATGTCCTTTGTGACTCATACATAGAACAAAATCTGACTCTTAGTAAGTGACATCAGGGCGTTAACCCTTAAATACAAGAAGGAATGAGTTTTTAACTTTAAAAATAGACAGATTTTATGATAGTGATAATTGTGGAGGTGGTGATTAATATCTTTGTTGATAATAAAATTTAAAAAAAAAATGAATTTTTTAAATTTTGATTTTCTTGAATTAGATCAATATCATGGTGTTTGATTTTATAACAGTGTTTTGACCAGGAAATTACAACGTTTTATATCTTTACATCTTTTTAATGCTTTGGTTTTAGAAATCACTTGTATGTATGAATATATTGTGTTTAGAGGATATAAATATCAGATATATCAATTGTGTAGTGAATTCAATTTTTTGCAAAATACAAGTCAACTATGTAAAGAAAACTCTAAAAATAACCATGCTCCTTAACAATATTGCACATTTTGTTAAGAAAAATACCAAACACATTTTAACAAGAATGAAACCCATTTCGGTTTAAACTGGTACAATGATGGATATCAATTGCAAAATTAACTTTTGAGAACAGATGCTAAAAACAAAAAAATGGATGCCTGAATTGATAGGTATTTTCGAGCATATTCTGGTTGAAATAAAGCAAATATCAAAATATTAAGAAATTGGAAACCTTATATGTTCAAAAGTCATCCTTCCTGAGGCAAAAAATTATTTTTTTCTATTTTCTCTTGATAAGACATTATTTTGAAATTTTGATTCGAGAATATTGAATTCTTTGCAGTTACTTATTCAAAACATGACTTGAATTGTATTTCAGTATTCTTTTTAAAAAAGTTTGTTTGTATCCTCTTTCCAAAAACACATGAATATGAAAATACAACTATAATTTCATTACAGTTTTACTGATCCTGATATGAAAGATACTTCTTTATTGAAGGTGGTAATGGAAGATTTTCAATGCTGGTCAGAATCTCAGATCCTTTTGTACATTCTAAAAGATGCCTTCGTATACTTTGACGACATATACTGGACAGGGGTCTGACAGAACTGGTTAATTCTATCATCCACTGGTGAAATCGCGTCTGTTCTGTTGTTTTACCTGGTAGGTACATCCAGGTTTCATGAGAGATGTCCCACCCACAGTGTAGAAGATACTCCGCGGCCTCCAGAAAACCTCGCCAGACAAGGAAACAGAGGGGAGAGTTCGGTGAAGCCGGCACTCTGGTGGAAAAATAGAAAACGAGACTTTCTTAATAGATGTGGTTGTCAGCAATTAATTGTTAAACTAGTAATTATACTTACTGGCTTTAAGAATAAATAATTGCTTACACACATCTTGTCATATATGTTTCCAAATATTTCTAACCTTATCTGAGATTCACTGGGTGACAATCTTTCTGGATAAAGGCACGATCCTGCCTGAATAAGAATCTTCATTGTCGTTAAGCTAAAGTTTCCGAGAACTGATTGCATAACACAGCTATGGAGAGGGGTATATCCATCTCTGTCCATTGGATTCATCTTTGCCCCACTTTTTATCAACAATGCTAATATTGCATCGCGTTCTTCCTTGTCTGTCAACATTAAATTCATTATTACATAATATTTTCAATCACATACATGTGTACTCCACGCAATATAAAATAAAATGTTATATAGATGTGGAAAGAATTGTATTGATGAACATATACTTACTTTTCAGTTTTTGACATTTGTGGAGTGCAGTTGCTCTATTGAAACCTAAGACATTTGGATCCGCTCCAGCATCTAATAAGATTCTAACGATCTCGGTGTTTCCAAGAGATACCGCCATTAAAAGGGCATAATCTTGGCGGGATACTCGATTACATTCATTTGGATCTGCTCCTGCCAGCAGTAAGCACTTAACAATTTTTGGGTTCTCTATCATGACCCCACTATACAGAGGCAAATAGGCATTTTCGTCTTTTGCATGAATATCTGCACCATAATTTAACAATGTTTTTACATTTTCTTCTTGATTATTGTAGATTGCGTAGTGAATTGCTCGACGTCCGCAGTTTTCTGTGACATCAATATTTGCACCTTGGTTAAGGATATATTCAAGAACATTGGGATCGTCTGCTTGTGCAGCATAATGAATAGCTTGTCTGCCTTCGGAATCTTTTGTATCAATGCATGCACCCTTTTCAACCAGTAATTCTATTATTTTCAAATGGGACTTCAGAACAGCTCTGTGTAGAGGAGTTTGACCACCTTGTTTAAGTTTCGTCTTCATATTGACTGACACTGTCCTTGATTCAATAAATGCCTCGACGGCCTCAATATGTCCATAATCAACAGCTATATGAAATGGGGTAAGGCCTTCCCTATTAGTTCTGGCTGAGTAAATGTGAGATCCATTCTCTATCAAGAAATTAATCATGGCTACGTTTCCGCACTGGGCAGCAAAGTGTAACGGCTGAAAACCCTCATCATCTGACCAATTTATAAAAGCCCCTGCCTTCAATAAAAAGTCAACAGCATTTCTGTCACCAGATATTACAGCATATTCAAACGCTCTCTTCTGGTTTTCATCAACATATTGCACCGATGGCTTTCTCAATGGGCTCCGGAACAACTCTTGGATTATTTCATAATAGCCATTCTTGGCCGCCATACATAAACCTTCATTGACGTCGTAATGTTTACAATGCTCCCTGTCATTTAATAGCGCCCTGACGGCTTCAAGATTGTTCAATTCAATTGCTTCTAATAATCTACTAGTCATTTTTCCAAGTAAATGCTATCTGAATACTCACAACTGTCTCCTAGAAACTAAACGTCTGATTATGAACAGTGATGGCCTTTGGGCGCTTCAGTATTTGTTTTGGAACTCTTCAGCTTTAGAGGAACGTTTAGACGTCTATACAAAACAAATAATTTATTCTACATCTTCCTATTTAATTTTTTTTATATAAACTTAATTAAAACGTTTAGCAGATAAAATATTGCATTCAAAGATGAACACTTCTACTTCTAATTATCCTAGCAAACTTATTTGTGATTTTAAATGTATGATAAGTGGAGATAAGAATATGAATCTTCATGATGATTAGCCTAATTCATGTTAGCTCAATCGATATTTTCCTATTCAATTTCTTTAAAAGTTTTTTGGAATTATTTTGACATAAAAATTCTTTCTTTACTCTTTGTTTAGTTTTTCTCTTTAATTCTCTCCGTTATTTGTTGCTATGAATCAGGACAATCTAAAGTGAATAACAAGCTTTTGAAGTTTGCAAATATATATATTGTGAATAATATACGTGTCTTTGTGATTTGGAAAATAAATTATTTTAAAAAAAAACCCAACTTATCTTCAATTTTGTTGACCAGAAAGGTATTTTCATTCCATCATTATCTAACGTGATGAACCACAATTATATCAAAATACTTAATGAAAATAATGCTTGGGTGAAACTATCGAGTTAATCTGAGGTTAATATATGCACAAGAAACTTTCAAAACTGAAATAAAATTTTACATTATCTGTACGTCCATTCTATCCTTTAATAATTTTTCATTCATTTGCACAAAAAGTAAAAAAAAACAGCTACCAGATACAATAGCTAGGATTTATTTCCCCATTTTAACTTGAAGATTAATTGCCCTTGTATATCTGACTTCAGTTATACTCGGCTGAAGATGCTCAAGAAGATCTTTCTTGTAGAAATCTTAATGACGATCGATGACTTATGTGCACTGAAATTGGTGTTTTCACTCAGTCCTACAAATTGTGGATTTGCCTGGATAGACTCCATGAACCAGAAGTAGCTGCTTCCAATACGGAAATGTTTTCCACGATATTTGATTTATATTAAAACATTTTATATCTATGTGTACTTTCATCATAATTACTAAATATACACTGAACATGATATGACGACATTCGATTTAAAACCAGAAAAAACTGGAATATTTCAGCATATATGCAAATCATAAGGTTGAAGACCTGCCTTTGGACTAGATCATTTTTTTCAAAAGGGGTGATTGACATTTATTTATGATTAATATCTCTTGTACCTTGTACACAATTGTTGTTTCTGTTTGAATTGAATAATCTGGTGTGTCCTTTAAAATCAATAATGCAACGTCATAGAACAATGTTTCCGTTTACACTCAAACTGCACAGGATCAATATACCTAACACATCCATTAGAAGTGTATTGTAGAACACACCTAATACAATGGCTGTGCGCATGTTTGGAAATCAACAGAAATATTTTTCGTTTGTATTGCCAAAGTGAACAAAGAAGAGGCAAGCTAGCAGGGTGTATGTTAAGATTTTTACTAATTCTTCTGAATCCTTCATTAACTATTTGGATTTTGTTGTTTTAGTTCGAGTCTCACTTTTGTTGGTACACGTTTCACTGGTGTCAGGATTGTCATCAGGGGTTCGTTTATAATTTTCTTAAGATGTATGTTTTGACGAAGGCTGTCTAACTAACGTTCATTATTGGAAATTAATTAAAGGAAATTATTGTTAGTTGCTGTATCTTACTTCTGAGTTCAGCTATAAAGACGTGGCAATCGATCGTCTGCTAAGGCGATCAGCTGTGAATCTATTTATATATTTTAAGAGGAAGGAGTTGTTTCACTGACAACACAGGGGAAATCCGACATTCATTTGTGTCGTTCTTGAATGAGTTTTAATATGACTCAAAACAAAAGGGAGTGAAAATTTAGGATTCTCATGTTATTACATTTTAAGATTGTTGGCCGTCAGGAGAATTGATTCCAGCTTTACGCTTAGTGTTCCAATTACCCGTCCTTGAACTTCCCCATTAATTGTTGGTTGTCGTTTGCATAGCTGTTTGACCGCGCAGTCTCAGCGGACACTGACGTTATTCCTCATTATTTAAAAGGATATGCTGGAGTTGGAAACAGTCACATGCACCGGGCATCACCGTGGTTCGCAGGGGGTTTAGGTATACCCGCTTCTTCGGTTACTAGGTTTTCTTGGTATACTCAATCTTTTTGTAGTTTAAATTTTGGGTCGCATGTTCGTATGCATTCACGATAGGATTTCCAGTTTGCACTGTGAAGATAACATGAGCTTATCCCGGATAATGGACAAAATATCTGTTCACACATACATATGTGAAATGATCAGCATTATAACCTATTTATTTTGTTGTAGATCTACGAGCAGAGTTCATGATTGACAAAATGGAAAGCAGCAGTTCAGGTGAGAAACAATTTTTTATAATTTTTCAGTAAAAAATTGAACCGATTTTCTTTGGTCTTTGTTGACTTCTTGACTTTTGCATAATGTAAACGTTTGTCAAAAAATGTATATTTTTTCGAAGTGGTAGTACAATAAGTATTTTGTTAAGTATAAACATTTATATACAACTGATGGTCAAAAGTAAGAAATTAAACAATTCCCAAATTTAGACTTTCTTTACTAAATCTTGTATGCTAGAAATGTGCACAAACAAAACCGGAAATTGCTGATTATTATTTTTAACAATTAATGGAAAAAATAAGAGTATTTTTCAAACGATTTGATTTTTAAGCGTAAAAACTTGTTCTGATGTGCAGTAGATAACTGCTGAGTATTGAAAATATTATTTTCTAAATTGTATTTGAATATTATTACAGTAAAGAGGAAAACGAAAAACATTGACATGTCAGTATATTTTCTTGAAATAGCATTTTCAAATTAAACTTAATTGTTTATTATTTTTACAAAAATCCAGTGATGAACTGTTGCATTTCTAAATTCGTATCACCTGTTCGTATGTTTTGTAGAATTCAGAATAAATTAACATTAATGAATTTATTTTGACATTTTCATTCGAGCAAATACCAATTTGATATAAGCATATAAATAATTTAGAATTCCATTTACGTGTTTTGATTCGTTTGATTGCATTTAGTAAACAAATAATTTTAATTTTTTGTGAACAAAAATAGATGTAATATATTAACAAAAATAGCAGTCATATATTCTCAAAAATAATAGTAATACATGTGTGTTAAACAAAACAAAAAGGAAACTTAAACATGGGCACTCTCCAATAGTTTTATAAAGATACTAAATAAATCAATTGATATCATATGGTGGTATTTCAAATTGAAGTCTTAAGGATGGATTGAAAGTATAAGGAGAGAAAAAAAAAAGTGCACATATTTCTTCCATTGCTATTATTGAAGCTTAGACGAATTTGAACCAGTTAATATAATGAAGATAAAGATTATTGGCTGAGGTGTATATTGTTTTTGAAGTTTTTTCATATATGCAATACGTATGCGACTTAAGCTTTAAATTAAAGTTTATTTATCCCTTATCAGGAATAGGCAATGCGCATGAGTATGGTATGATTGATATACTAGTACATATATAAAAGTCATGCTTTGATGCACTCACAAGCTTTTATACTTTTCTAGTAATTCAAGTGAGCGTGTCAAAAAAATCGAATTTTATATATCACAAGTATTTTTTGTTACACTCGTTACCTTAACTTTTAAGGCAATGAGTCAGGGTTATCGGAGGAAATAATAGCAAAAATTTATAGAGGATATGCAATGTGTTGTACTTGGGTATGGAATTTATTTCACGAGAGAGATGGGATTTTTTTTTTATATTTTCAAGAGTGCAGAGCATGAGTGAGAATATTAACAAAATACTGTCTTACGAGAGAAATATATTCCAAATGTATCTACAAAACATCGAATTTTCTGTTTATTACATTTTCTTAGATTGTCCTTTTATCTCTGTCTTTTTGGAAGACATTGTCATAGGCTAAAATATGTCATGGTTGATCGGTTGAAACGTCATAGCTAAGTGATGCGAGACTCACTGATGTCGATTTTATAAATATATTTTTTAAAAACTTGGGCAGTTTAAGTCTGTAAGAATGGTGATACACTCCATCTTAAAACAGATCACAAAGAATACTCACAACACCCCTCGTTCTGGAAAGCAAAAACTGAGCGTTTTACCCGCATTTCTCATATTTGTCACACTGTGAAAGGATATCATTTTGATAACCTTTCGCATTGTGACAGGATATCATTTTAATTCAATAAATAATTTACTGTATTTTACTGTTGAAAATGTAATAAAAACATGTAACCATGTTTCGAAGGGAACACTTTACATATCCTGATCTTTTTATGAATGAAAACCTTTCATGAATGCGTAAATCGTATCAAATACGTAACCATGCAATATTAATCATACTGAAAGCCCTTGGTGTTCCTCAACCTTCCAGCTAACTAGGAGATGGATATATTTCTATCAATTTGTGTGGAATCTTTTTTACGTAAAACATCATGGTAAGTGAAAGTAATGGGAGAAAGCATGTGTTACATGAAAAGTACACAAGTGTTTGTTTGCCAAATGTCTCTGCCTGGGAATATTCTCGAGGACATTGGCAAATGTTTTTGGATTCCCTAAAATACCATACTATTGCAGGTACCTCAAACATGCATGCTGTTGAAACGAAAGAGATGATACCTCCAAGTGACGAATCATTAACAGAAGAAAACACTATTCCGGAAAGTATGAACGATCCATCATACACCGATTCTGTAGGCAGTGCAGATAGTCGTACAGCACTACTCAAACATGACAATGCCCTTGATGACACTAACTATTTAAACAAACTTAACCCAGACATCGAGCCATCCTCAAATCACAGCTCTTTTTGGGATGTCAGTGATTTGGGTCACGAAATTGAAGCTAAAATGGCACTCCGAGATATCAGAAGAGAAAGAGAAAAAGAACACGTGTTACAAGAAAGTATAGCCTACATTGATCCCTTAGTATCTCCAAGTCCAGACGTGAACAGACTTCGAAGCATTTGTAGAAATGCAGTTCAGTCACTTAGCCAGGAAGCTGTTTATAGATCGATGTCTATACTTGCCATTGATGAAAAGGGACTTAAAAAGTTAGAGGAAGAAAAATCGCCAGAAGTTGACATAGAGGTTGAAGAAATCAAATATGTCAACAATCACCTAAGCAATCTGATTTTCTTAAGCGTTGGTATATCTCTTGTTTGCACTGCTATTGGGTCACTGCGCAACCTTTTGAGCAGTATGCACCATGAAAGCGGTATAGGAGTGTACTCTCTTGCAGCAAGCTTTGGAGCTTTCACTATATTCAGTCTCATCTCACCATTTGTCGTTCAAAGATTCCGTCCAAAATTCTGCCTTGTTTTTGGTATATTCACACAACTTCTGTACGTTGTTGCAAATTTAGTACCAACATTTTATGTCTTCATACCTGCATCTTTTCTTCAGGGAATGGGAAATAGTCTCTTGTGGAATGCCATGAGTACATACACAAGTTATCTTGCCAGAGCTTCTGCAATTAAAAATGACAAGAAAACAGAGGACGTAGCAAGCAAATATTTTGGTATTTTCTTCTTCTTTTACCAATTTTCATATGTTGCTGGAAATCTCATTTCATCCCTTGTCCTTGTTTTAGTCCCAAGCAATGAAGACGGGTCAGAAAGTACCACAATATCCTACCTCCCCAGCACTTCCATCTTCAACGAATCTCAATATGCATTTGTGAATTATACAAACTTGATTTTAGGAAACCAAGAGAATATATGTGGTGCCAAATTTTGCAATCATTTTAACATGGACCAGTCGGACGTGCATGTAGATCCTGACACCGCTGGTATTCTAATCGGGATCTATGGGATGTGCGTTGTCATTGCTCTTATTGTGTCACATGTTTTGCTTGACCCAATTGCGACATACCATTCTTCTGGATGCACCTTTCAACAAATATTCAAACAAGTTTGTTCTGTCTTCGAGTGTATTTCACACTGGAAATTCCTCCTTGTCACACTTGTTCTGATGTATAGCATGATGCAGGTTGGGTTTGCAGCAGCTGAAATGACAAAGGTACAAAATGATAGTTAAAGGGAAATTGAAATGTATCTTGCATGTATGAAGCTGTGAAAAACATGAATATTTAAATTGCATAGAACCCATTCTGCAACCCAGCGTCTTTTGCAACATGTTCAGAGAATATTCTTTGAGGGAAAATTTTCTCTGGATATGGCACCTACAAGGCTGGTTTGCAGATGGATATTTCTCAGTTTTAGGCAGCTTGTAACATAAATCTTTAAAACTTACAAAAATTTCAAGTTTATATTTTAATCTTTTAAACTCATAAGTAAACATATATAAAACTGGTCCCAAATGAAGGTTAAAAAGGATGAAAGAAATTTATTACATTTCCTTATCTCCTTTAGGCATTTGTCTCCTGTCCACTGGGTATTCATATGGTCGGTTACACTATGATTGGATACGGTGTATGTGGAGGCTTGAGTTCTTGGATAAGTGGGATATTGTGTCAATACGTCGGGAGAGTGGCTCTCATTTCTTCAGGTAGGCTTAGTTTTACAGAATGAGCTTTCAATTGCAATATATAGCATGTCTGCAGACAACTTCTTAAGCAAGTATTGTCTTGCAAATGATGCATACCGGAGATTGTTTTTCTTCCAGCAAGTTTATTTAATGCCTTTTGTTTTCAGAACCCTTTTTCCTTTTTATTGCAGGTGCATGCTGTGCAGCTCCTTATTTGTTTTCGTTGCAGGTCTTTCATGTTGTCCGATTGTATGTACATGAACTTGAGCGTCTCTTTAAAATTAATCTTTAGCGAATCTGAGAAAAGTTCATATACATACATCTGACCATGTTCAGAATGCGGAACTTGTTCACTAAACTTGTCTCATTTTACAGCTCCTTAATCTGTTTAAAGAATTACCTTATCCTTGCAGCTCCCGCTCAATTAGTTAAATTAAAACAGATCCATAACCCATTAGGGTTTCCAGAGAAAGAAGGTTCATTTGACCAATTAAAGATGGACTTCTGGCGATGTTTGTTTGCGGCATTGTTATTTCCTTTTCCATCAAGTGAATTACACATTATATGATGACGTCATGGATTAATGATGCATTTGTCATCAGATATACTCATGGATGATTTTAAAGTTTATTTTTTGGCGCTGAGTGGTGAGTATGCCTTTCCTTGGTTCTCCCCGGTGAAGTTCCGAAATTACATGACATTTCTGAGGCGGCTCCATAAACGTAAACTAGATATGTACAAGTATTGCAAGCCAATGAATCATCTGTAGTCAATTTAATCTACAGTAAAATTACAGATATATTAGTACATATTTAAAGACAAAATCTATTCATTGAAAAATATTGCACCAAAAGCATACAAGTAAAATAAAGAACAGAACAGACTAGTTCTACAGAAATTGTAAATTCATTTAGAACAGCATATATGTAGAGAGAGGAGATTTCTTTACATGAAAAGTAGTAAGTACTGTTGAAAATTGAAAAGAAAACTGAAGAACTCTTAATATTAGTGAAGAATAAGCTTTTTTTATTCTTTCAGTTTGTATCTTACATTGTAAAGGGATTATTTTTTCAGTTTCTTATGAAGTTAAATGCATGTTATGAAACGATTTTATTCTTTAAATATTAATTATAGAAATAATGATAGTGATAAACGTATCAGGTAGGTACACATGAAAGTTATGGATCCGCCTCCTTTGTTCTCAGACCCGTTACCTCTCATAGACCCTGAGAATCGGAACCACCAATTATATTCGCTGAAGATAATATTTTTTTTATTTTCTTTTGACAGCCGCCTGTTTGGGCCTGGCTCTCCTAATCTTTATGGTCCTGTGGGAGCCCAATCCTGAACAAATTGTGTTATTTTTCATTCTTCTGGGAGCCTGGGGGGTTGCTGATGGTGTATGGATCTCACAAGTGAACAGTGCGTATAATGATTCAAAATCATTAAGCTAAAGATAACTTAATTTCTTAAACCACTCCCTACTATATATCTTTTGCTGAAAATTTACATGGCTTCAAAATTGCTATTCAAAGTACATGTAGTTTACAAAGGTATATAAGGAGCCTCTAGTGTTAACCTTTGAACCAGTCTTTGCTTCTTGTTTTCCGAGAAAAAGGTCAAAAATGGGATTGTCTGAAATGTCACTAAAAATTGCAACTTGGTAACTTGATTCTCTAGGGGTATTTTCTTGTTTTCCTAGAAAAATGTTAAGAAGTGGGATTCTCTGAAATATCACTAAAAATACCCGGGTATATCTAGGTAACTTGTTTTTTTAATCCTTACAGATATCGTGAGTGCACTATTTCACGACAAACTTGAGGACGCATTTGCCAGCTTGCGTGTAATACAAGGTTTAGGCGGCACTATTGTCTTCTGTTATTCCAACAGTTTATGTGTGATGGAGAAGATGTACATCCTCGCAGCTGTGTGCATCATAGGTACTGGTCTCTACATTGGAGTGGAGATCTCCGAAAAGAGAAGGATGTCTAAGCACGATGAATCCATCAAATTTAAAGCGGATTCCGCCTGATTTGTTGTTGAAAAAGCTGTGATCTTAATATTTAAAAGAAACAATGTTTCTTTCAGGAGTTTAATTTACTTTATATAATGCATGTCCATGACATTGACTTGTTGACAAAAAGATCTCGGTAGACCTCATTTCTCTGATATATGATGTTTATCAGTTTCCTTTACAAGGATTAAGGAAAAGAATGCATGTTACTCTCCCTGTTGAAGGAGAATCTTGATTGAATATTAGTTAATAATATTGTGAGGCTGACGGAAAGAATGTCGTTTCCATGTAATTTATATAAATGATAATGCTAGAAAGGTTTTCATTACAATGTAATGTACATGTATATTTATATCAATCGTGATGTTAGAAAAGTTTTCATTGCAATGTAATGTTTATTAATATGAATTTATGTTCATTTCCAGGAAGTGAAGGCAAATGATCTAGACTTCCGTAAAATGTAGAAATTCTGTTGAACTGGTTCTGATTGATGAATGCCTGTGGCATTTGTGAGTTGTGAATTGAACTACATGTTATTTATTCTTTATCGAAAACATGCATATTTTTTTAAATCATAAACAAAGAACTATTTGCCAGAGCATAATACATGTCAATCATAATTATACTATTTTTATGGCATTTGTAAATAAAATGATGCAACTATACTTTATTGATTATTCATACTATAATCAAGTCAAACGGTACACAAACATGCAAGTGCATGTTTATATTAATTATTCGATAGATGCAGCAGTTGAAACTGGAAAAGTTTAAAATGTACATGTAAACAAACCATGTACTGGGATATACTCCACTACTGTTCGTATATATATTCACCTATTTCTTTCCAACATTTATTTCGATTCCAACATTTTGTGAAAAGTTCAATATGGGGCAGTTTGATTTTAAAGCAAAATTTAATTCACCACAAACGTCACTGACATCGTAGAAGCAATTATAGGTTAAGAGATCCAGCAAAATTTATTTCATCTACTAGTATGCGTAAATAAAAAAAATGTATTTTGTTCAATGTAACATGTGGTATACCCAAAAGGCACAAGGATGACAACCCCATATTTCATCTGTTTTAGTAATCTGTTTTAAATAATGTTGGATCAGCCCACGTCTAAACAAGAATTTTACTCCTTAAGGTCAGACGATACGTTCCCCAAATATCTCTTTTGTATATCTTAATAATGTATGAAAAATACACAAAATTTTTAATTACTTTCTGACTTCTAAACCGGTTTCTAATTGTTTTTAAACACTGAAAATGTAATTTTGGCACACTAAGTTTTTTTTTCCCTAACGGATTATATAAGAAACTTCATCGGTATCTTGCATAAATGCCTGGTAAGGTACCTAAATTTTTTGTGAGTAAACATGTTAAAGTAGTAATTCTTGAATGAAAAAATATTAGAAAAATTTCTTATATTATTGAGGAAAATCTCGTCTGTCCTTAATTAGGGAGAAAATGAACTGAGAAAAAGAAAGTATTGGTAAAAATCTTACTCAATGTCGAATATAGCTTTTCAAAACTTGCAAAAATACTGTGGAAGCTACATCATAAATATTAAACAAAAGAGGTGCCTATTTCTTAGGATTATTGTAAAACCGAATTATCGCTCTTATTTATTTTACCTTAGCTTACTCTTTTAATGACAGTGGTCTTCTTAAACTATAAAACTTGCACTAACATCACGGTGGACTTAAGAATAGTTTTAAATCGGGTATATATTTTTTTGTCTATGATTGTGTTTTCAACAGAAATTCATTTTAATATCATGCATTTTTAAAAGAAATTTTGAGTCTGTCAAAATTGCTCAAAATCAAAATTAAACACATGGAGAGAATATACTTTACTGGTATGCTCATATTTTTTTTTACTTGCGGGGTGTGAATGATTTATCAACAGGTTAACTATTCATTTCAGTGTAGTGCCATTTAAGTTATTAAACATACAATCCCTAACAAAAAACACTATAGTTAACTAACTATAATAGTTAACTATAGTTTACTATACATAACAATAGTAAATTATATTTCACTATAGTGAATCAAAGTGTCAAAGTTATCACTATAGTAGATCAAAGTTTTCACTGAAGTGTCAAAGTGTTCACTATACGAGGGTCATTCAAAAAGTTCGTAGACTTTTGTCATAACTTTTTTATTTTACGTCATATTTAAACCAAAATTGGTACATATATTTTAACAACAGATTCAAATATTTTGAGCAAAGAAATTGGAATATATCTTGATGTTTGTCAAAATTATCAAAGATTTAAGACAGCAAAAATGGGGTCACGGAGCATGGTCAAAATTGAGTTATTGACTGATTATTCACTTTTCATATATATAGCCATACCTCTTTAAAATTGTCCTTAAATGAAACAAAATTTACATACTTATATTTACTATTGTTTCATTTCTTCAAAAGCAAAAAGTTCATGTAATAGATTGCTTTGTTTAAAAGATATCCATTTCTATAGACAGATAGTCTTGATTTAAAAAAGCAAAAAATCATGACGTTGAAGGACGTCACGGAGCAGCGAGTAGCAATATAATTTTGTTTTGCATTTGGAAACTTTTAAAACAAACTCCGAAAATGCTGGAGAGACCAGGAAAAATACATAAAATGAGCCGTGTATTTGTTTATAATGGATCAGACAATTTTTGAGGGGTAAAGACTTTAAATTGGGCGATGGGCGTTCTGCAAAAAAACAGATTATAGTTCAAAATCTTTTCAAAAGAGTTAGTAACGTCATGAAACGTGATGTGCACTTCACTGTTGCGGAACCTGTAAGAGCAGAGTTACATGGTAAAAGATTTGGAAACATTGACAATCTTATTTAAATTATACTCAATTTATTGATACAAATGTAGCATACTAGGTGTCAAGTGTTGTGGAAACGTTTTAATGAATGAGGAATAGGATACAAACCATGTATAAAATGAAAAGGCACTGTGAGTTTGAGAAATGTTCTTTAACGTTGTTTTTGACTTTACACTGTTTTTGACCGTGCTCCGTGGCGACAAAACATGTTACATTTAAAATTGTCTAGTATGAGTTCCGTTTAATCAAATAGAATGATACTTCAGAAATCTATAAAATATATCTTTTTACATTTAAAAATGTACTGATATTAAGATTTGTAAAAAATAATGTGATGATAAGGAACATTGTCTACGTATTTTTTGAATGACCCTCGTAGTAAATCAAAGTTTTCAAAGTGATCACTATAGTGTCAAAATTATCACTATAGTAAATCAAAGTTTTCAAAGTTATCACCATAGTAAATCAAAGGTTTTTTCCATAGTAAATCAAAGTTTCCATAGTGATCATCATGGTAAATCAAAGTTTTTATAGTTATTACTATAGCAAATCAAAGTGTCAAAGTTATCACTACATAGTAAATCAAAGTGTCAAAGTGTTCACTATAGTAAATCAAAGTGTTCACTATAGTAAGTGAAAGTTTCCCTAGTTTCAAAGTGTTCACTATAGTTAACTATAGTAAACTATAGATAACTAATAGTATTTTTGGTAAGAGATGAAACTGAGGGGTGGGAGGGGGTGTTACAGCAAGAAATCAACATATGAAATAATTTATTTTAGATAAACTTACCTAAGTCGTCAAATAAATGTGCAATATGATTTTGGTGCCAGTTGAAGCCACAAGTCATGGTATATAGTCGATTGTTATCCTTTCGTTTTGAGGTCATCATAAACCAGTAATTCCCGTACGCGTTTTCCTCTAAATGTACACAAGCTCCATTGTACCTGTGCCTTGTTTAGAAAGAAAACAAAAAAGTCATTTTTGTTATTTACTAAAAAAATATATAGGTATGTATCAATTGCACAGGAGAGTGTAATTATACGACTATGGGCTCTCTTATGTAAGTATTTCAAATAATAAAATCATTACTAGGCTGAAAATAAAGAATGTGTAAAATTTATTTTAAAAGAGGGAGACTCGGAAAAAAGGGGGTAAAACGGGTCTTAATTCCACATTCCTAACAGTTATCTCCCGTTGTCGGCGTAACGCTCATTTTCCCCACTTTGTCCTTTGTAAGTTACCTGTTCATATTTTTAATCTTCACACGTTAAATATCGGACGATTTCGGTCTGTACCTTCATTACCATAGTATGGGGCAACATCAAAAACCTAATGAACATATTCATACAGATTTTATTTCTAAGATACTGACCCATAAAGTTGGTAAGGTTATACACTTACGCTAGTTGACCCCGGATTCACCCCGCAAAGGGGAATAACTTTCGTAAATGTGAAAGTCGTCTATTTTTATTTCTAATTTGCGATGGCTGCAAAAGGACATATATACAGCTTTCGTAGCTTACTACTAGGGCGCCACATGTTATTAAAACATTTCGTGGGAACGATTTTTTTTTTATTTCAGTGGAACAAATTTAATCTCGTGGGAAGGAATTTTATTTCTTAGGAATGAGTTTTTCATTCTCGAGGGAACAAATTTTATTTCGTGGGAACGAATTTAATTTCTTGGAAACTAATTTTTATTTCATGGGAACGAATTTTCATATCGTGGGAATGATTTTCTATTTTGTGGGAACGAATAAAAAAACAACTCATGTATATAATTCGTGAAAAGGAATTTTTATTCCATGGGGACGATTTTAATTTCGTGAGAGCGGATTTTTTTTATTTGAAGCATGTGCCCTATAGCGGCCAAATTGGTCCGAAACCTTTTTGCAGTCAGAATGTGTGGTCCAATAATTATGCCTCCCTTCGAAGAAGGGGGAGGGGGCATATTGCTTTGCTGCTGTCCGTCGGTCGGTCTGTCGGTCAATTTAGTTTCCGTTCATTTTCTTCACAACCGTTGCACATACTGAAATGAAATTTGGTATACAGATTTATCAACTGAATGTCTAGAGCAAGTTCTGTTTTGGATACGATTGCGCCAAGTTTTGAAAGAGTTATGCCCCTTGGACTTAGAAAAATTCCAATTATTTGCAGTTTCCGTTCATTTTCTTTGCAAAGGTTGCACATACTGAAATGAATTTTGGTATACAGATTTTCAGCTGAATATCTAGGTTCAGTTCTGTTTTGGGTAGGATCGCGACATTTTTTAAAGAGTTATGCCCCCTTCGACTTAGAAAAATTCCACTTATTTGCAGTTTCCGTTCATTTTTTTGCAGAGATTGCACATATTGAAATGAAATTTGGTATGCAGATTTATCAACTGAATGTCTGGATCATGTTCTTTTTTGGATACGATCGCGCCAATTTTTGAAAGAGTTATGCCCCTCGGACTTGGAAAAATTCCAATTTGGGGGAGGCGGCATAAGTGTTTTACAAACATCTTGTTTTTAGCTCACCTGAGCCGAAGGCTCAAGTGAGCTTTTCTGATCACATTTTGTCTGTAGTCCGTCTGTCCGTCCGTCTGTCTGTCTGTAAACTTTTCACATTTTCGACTTCTTCTCAAGAACCGCTGGCCCAATTTCAACCAAACTTGCCACAAAGCATCCTTGGGTAAAGGGGATTCAAGTTTGTTCAAATGAAGGGCCATGCCCTCATTCAAGGGGAGATCATTGGGAATAAATAAAAATTTGGTGGCATGTTTTACAAATCTTCTTCTCAAGAACCACTGTGCCAGAAAAGATGACATTTATGGGAAAACATCCTCAGGTAGTGTAGATTCAAATTTGTTCAAATCATGACCCCCGGGGGTAGGGCGGGGCCACAATGGCCGACCAAAGTTTTACATAGAAATATATAGGAAAATTCTTTAAAAATCTTCTTCTCAAGAACCACTGTGCCCAGAAAGATGAAACTTATATGGAAGCATCCTCAGGTAGTGTAGATTTAAAGTTGTTCAAATCATGACCCCCGGGGGTAGGGCGGGGCCACAATGGCCGACCAAAGTTTTACATAGAAATATATAGGAAAATTCTTTAAAATTCTTCTTCTCAAGAACCACTGTGCCAGGAAAGATGAAACTTATATGGAAGCATCCTCAGGTAGTGTAGATTCAAAGTTGTTCAAATCATGACCCCCGGGGATAGGGCGGGGCCACAATGGCCGACCAAAGTTTTACATAGAAATATATAGGAAAATTCTTTAAAAATCTTCTCAAAAATTGCAAAGCCATAATTGATCATATTTATATGGAAGCATCCTCAGGTAGTGTAGATTCATATTTGTTCAAATCATGACCCCCGTGAGTAGGACGGGGCCAAAATGGCCGACCAAAGTTTTTCATAGAAATATATAGAAACATTCTTTAAAAACCTTCTTCTCAAGAATAGCAAAGCCATGATTGGTCATGGGACTACTTTTGGATTCAGACTTTAATAATAAACCAATTTCTACTTTTTCCTAGCCACAGTGCTCATGCAGGTGAGCGATGTGGCCCATGGGCCTCCTGTTTGTGATTTTGAGTCATGCTAACTGACCTGAATACTTAGGCTAGTAGTCCTTGATATAACTCGAGTGACATACCTTAAATGGACTCTACTTATTTGTTCATTGATGATTGTTGACCATGCCCCCCCCAAACCTTTTTCTTCATTTTTTTTTAAATGTACGTGTACTTTCAGACACTCTTCTACTGACTAGTACACAAATAGATATTGAACACATTTATAATCTCTAGAACCATTTGAGCCATTGCAATGAAATTTTACATAACGCCTTCAAAGTTCAAGGACGATTCTGTCTGTGTGTACTTCATTTTTCAAGAAGATTTTGAGCTGATTGGCATGGCCCCGTTTGTTTTATTAGTATTTATAGTATTACATGTCGCTATTTTTAGCGCAGGGGCATGAGGAGAGTTATTGCGTTCATTCGGCGGACTTTTTTCTTATTACATCTATTAGAACTGTTTAATAAAGGCTAAATAAATGGACATGAAAACATGAATATATACTGACTTCAGTTCTGCATATACTTCACTCAGTACAGCTTCAAATTTTTTTCTTTTTTTTAAAAATACTTTTTTTTTTTTACTAAATGATAGTATTCAGCATGTGAAATGAAAAATTTATGAGGTTATAAAATCATCATTACAGTGTGATAAATATTCCATATGAAAATCTTCTATACATATAATAAAGAATAAGCAATCAAATTTTTATATGCATATTGACATACATGTATTTTATTTTTGTATACATGTATACATTTAATAATTCTACAAATTGTCAGGGGGAGCCGACTTTTTCCCTAAGCGGGGGACACGAATTCTCTGGCATATGGTACTTTCAACTCTTCTACTGACTAGTATACAAATAGATAGGCCTATTGAACACATTTATAATCTCTATCGCCTTCGACGATTATTTTTTTCAGTCAGATTGGCATAGGCTAAGTTGTTGTTTTGGTTTTTTTTTTGACTTTTCATGGCATTGGACTTTCAAGAACGCTGTCGCAGACTGCCATGGCTAGTTCTATCAACTCTCCATTTCTGAGAAACACATACATAGTATATCGTAAAGTGAGATTATTCTGATAAATCTAATCTAAGTTTTTTCTTGAGCTTTCATATTACCTTAGAAAATAAAAGGTGCATTCTTTTTTAGGCCTTATATTGACAAGGCCTAGCTGCATTCTTTCTTGTCGCAGACGACAAAACGCACGAGGTCATGTGACTTGTCAAGCGTTTGCACACCCCTTTGCCTTAAGAGGGATAACTCTTATATTAAAAATTTGCGCAAAACGGGAATCAAGATGCGATAAAATTGGTAAATATGTTTAAGTGATAGTCTGTATCAGGGTTAGTAAATAGAGAAAAGGTGAACCTATCGGAGGAGAATAAGAAAATAAAATAAATTAATTAATTAAACCAATAAAAATTAATACTGTAGTATGCGCATTTCAAGTTCTGATTTTTGATTTATTTATTCTTTACTTGAAAACAAAATAGAAATGTATACTATTTACTTAACGAATAATGTATGGCGATGTCCAAATTGTTGTTCAGAATTAACATGTATATTTCTTTTGTGAAATTGAGAAATTAATAAGCAAACAATGTTGTACTGAAATGAAATACCAGTAGCCTAGTCTACAATTTTGCTGGTTAATTTTCTCGGCATTTGGTGATTCGATCTCTATGTTGATGGATTGTTTTAATAGTATTAAAACGAACTATCAATTTCCATGTTATGCAAAGCAAAGAAATACTCTAGCGTAGACCTGCAACACCCTGTATCCCTAAATCTTTTGTTATTTGGTGCTAGTAATATGAAATTGTTTGATTGTGTTCATAAATATATTTCACAAACCAAGAGGTTTCATAAATGATATGAAATTATGAAATATTTTACATGTTCTTGTTTAAATCAAATAAACATTCATTGTATTTTAGATAAATTGCTTTCACTCCCATTTTTCTCTCATTTTCACATAAACCGGTATTCATTTTATTTTTTTTCTTCACTCTTTTTTCCCGTTTTCTTCTAAATTCCATTCAATTTTGTGTTAGTTAGCAATAACTTATTAGTGATATATATGGATACACCTGTATAATGTGTATTAATTAACTTTGTACCTGTGGGTTTTTATTATACCGTATAAGGCCATTTTTTTAAACGTGAGAAAAAGTACAATCTGCTTGCATAGAACGAGATATAGATGTGTTTGATGGGAAAATTATATATTTTTGAGAATTTATACACTCTTGCATTTTTTTTAATTAAAAGGGGGTGTGGGGTGAATATCCATTCTTCGGGTGCCTGTGGGCTAATTGAAAGTGGGGGGGGGGGGGGGGGGGGGGGGGGGGAGCTAACCCAGCAAAAAAAGTAATCCCCAATTTTCAATGCCTCTTATGTACAGAATTGCAAAAACAGTGGGGGGCTAAGCCCCCCCCCTCCCCGGTTCCGACGCCTATGCAATAGAGAACAGTAGGAACTAGTGCTAATTGTAACGGGGACCGTTACAGATGTTCCCCAAACGCTCCCCAACTCCCTTTTGGTGCCATATTCCCTGTTATCTCTATTAAATAAGAAATACTTTATGGAATTTAGACTTAATCAAGGTCTTCCAAGAAAAATACAAAATATATTTAAAAAAATAGGCATTGCACGCGTGTTCATGTGCGTAACGACCATATTATCTTGTCTACACTATCTTAAATTTTAATAATATCAAAGCATTTAATCCAAAAGTATTAAAAAATGCACTCATTCGAGTGTATTTTTTATTTTACTCATTTCAGGTGCACGCACGTGCAAGCACGTGCATAATGACTACACCTTCTTTTAGAAGTCCCTTTTATTTATCCAAGTTCTAAATCTCATCCTGTTTGGTTGAAAAACAAGAGAGTTATGGCCATTTGAAGTTTCAGCCAATCAGATTGCAGCACACGTGCATGCGCGTGATTTCATGAATATTTTCTAAATCATATTTTAGGATATCGTAATGCATGACTATGTTTTAAATTTCAAAGCATTTCGTCAAAAAACAAAGGAGATATAGCCATTTAAAGTTTTAGCCAATCAGATTACAGCACGTGCGCATGCGCATGCTTTTATTAAAATTTTAATATACCATGCTGTAGATCTTCATAATGTAGGACCATGTTCAAAATTTCAAAAGAGTATGACAAGAAACAAGAAAGATATTGAGATTTTAGTTTCAGCCAATCAGAGCAAAGCGCACGTGCATGCGCGTGAGATCTTGCTATTTTGACCATGCCATCTTGTCTATACTACTAATGTATCCTTACATTATAAGTTTCAAAGCATTTTATCAAAAAATAGAAAAGTTCCGACTATATCTATTATATTGGTTATTTCAAGTGTTGCACGTGCGCGCTCTTGCAAGCACGTGCGCGCAAAATGACCTTGATTCCGCAAATATGCATAACATGTCTACTTACCCTAAAAAGGTTTTACCTACCTCGGACGAACAGTTTACAAGATCATTCCCGGACAAAAAAGTACCCAGGAAGAAGAAGAAGAAAAATAATAATAATAATAATAAGAAACAGAGTAAAAACAATATGTTCCCCAACTTCGTTTGGGGAACATAATAATAGTAGGAATATTTGGCATAAGAAGGGGGTCATCAGGCGACGTAGTGTCCATTAAAAAAGTTAATAATCAACTCATTTCTTTCCAACTCTGTTTTCAATTATTAAGATCAGACGATATGTTCCTCAAAATCTAATCTGTTTTGTATAGTTTTATTTATATGTATGATAAATATTCAAAATTTTCAACTGAATTACATTCTGACTTCTAAACCAGTTTCTTATCGTCTTCAAAAAATATTGAAACAATATAAAATTTTATTTTGGAAAATTAGGTTTTTTTTCGCCCAAAAGATTATATAAGAAACATTACCTTTGTTATCTTGCACAAATGCCTTGTAAGGTACCTCCATTTTTTGTTTGAGTAAACATATTACAGTAGTAATACTTGAATGACAAAATCTTAGAAAAAAATTATATACTGTTAAGATACGTCGTTAAGTTATTGAAGTATAAAACCCTTTCCACAACATTATTACTTGTCTCTATAATAAGATTATGAAAATAATCTATGAAAATAAATAATATTTAAAATAAAATCCTCTCCTACAAAAATTACTTATGCTATAATAAATAAGAAATTTTTGATATCATAATATCATGTGTAGAAATCTTTAAAACATCGAGTGACTGTGCCAAGTACGTGGTTCTTCCATGACAGATTCTATTACTGAACATGTACTTTTGCTCTGTAACTACAACTACTTTGTGCTTTTCCTGTCGGTTTAACACATTATCATTTATATTCCCTTCAAATAAAAACCTGCTAATTACCTGTATAAAGAAAATATCAAATTACAAGTAACAAAGAAAGATTTGTTTAAAATATGTTTATTGACATCTGATGGTACAAAATTCAGGTAAAGAATAATGTAATGTTAATTAACATAACCATAATTAATATTTTCATTTTTTCTACATATCCACAATTTTACAAAGAGAAATTAGATGCTTCTGAATATAACTGTTTTATTGTATCTTTTAGGTTAAAGGTTCCGCATTCTGGAAAATTTTCACAAAATACTAGTAATAATTTTGTCTTATTCATTAATTGGTCTCAATTGGAAAATTAAAAGTTTGACCAGGACTATATATATTAAGAATATATAGGTCACTACTGGTTTGATTATTTCAACAAAATATAAATAGCCCTTACCAAGCAAAACTTTCTTTTTAGTTTAAGAATAGACAAAATTTATTTCATTAAAATATTCCAGTATACTCCATGGCAGAAGAAAATTTCCTCTCTAGCACAAAAAATGAAGTGAATGTTAAAAATGGTTTTCTCAGAAAATATATAATAATCAGCAACAAGTATACGTAACATAAGAGCTTGTGTCTGTAGCCTGAGACAAAGAGTTTTATAAACCCTATAAACATCACGTATATAATAAAAAATATGGGAGCATAAATGAGTTCACCCAGGAAAATATTCATATAAAAAAGAAACTACATTATAACTGATGTTAATATAAATTTTATATTAGTTAATAAACATTTATTGGAAACAAAAGCTGAAGCAAGGGGTCTCAAAGAGGGGTAACTCTTTAATACATAATTCTCCTACAATGATGAGCATGTCAGACAGATGATCTTACAAAGAACAAATTGGTCATTGGTTTCTCGTTTAATTCATCTAGATAATGGAGGTCAATTAACGAAACAATTGATCTACAGTATGTATTTCATATGAGTAAATGTGAAGTTTTTGTAGCCTATAAGCCAAAAATGATTTTTTTTTTCAATTGCTGCATATTGAACTCCTTTAAAACACTTGAAAAAGTATTGTCATGATTAGATTACAATGGAGGTTAATATACAAATTACATTTTGTATGAGCAAATTTGAAGCTTTTGAAGACTAAACGTCTACTGTTCATTAAGTAAAAAAAGTTGTTTGTTTGTTTGTTTTTACTGTTGTTGCTGCATACTAGTATCATAAATTATTCAGAAAACTTGCAAAGAATTTGTCATGTACAGAAAAAAATGTACTAAAAATGTAATCAAACATCAACTATATAATTCTGTCAGACTTTTACACAAAACTAATAATTCAGAATTTACATTCAAAGATGACAAAAACATTTCTTCAAAAAAATCTAAATACATGTATTAATGCCACTTTGGACTACTTCTAAGTTTTAAATCTCTATTCAACATGCTTAAAACTTCTGCGCTCTTCTCACAGTTTATGATATCAATAAAAATTCACATATTTTTCATTTTATTCCTAAATAAAATTTACCATTGCTGAAAAAAAATACTGTAAAAATAATTTAAAACTTTTAAGTACATGTACATATGCATAACAGTTTACCTATACATTAACATTCTGCCATTTGTTGTCAGTATTTCACTAACTTTAATATTAGATTTGTTCATCTTCTATTTGGCTAATTGATCATTGCCCATGAACAAAATAAATTCCCTGATAAAAATGTTTTTTTTTCCAAACTTCTTAATCTACTACTTGACAGTTGAACTTACATACACAGTGCTGTATGTCCCTATTCCTGTATCCAAATACAAATGTACAACTACTTTTGTCTCAGGTTACTCTAGGAGTCTAAACTTAAAATGTACTATGCTCAATTTCTTATGCAAAATTATACTTCCTCATCTTCACTACCTTAAGTTTTGCAATATTTTCTCTAAGCAAACCCTTGAATTGTCAAAAGTTGCTATTTAAAAGTCGGGCTAGAAAGAGACTATTTCATTTGTTCATGACCTTGCAATGGGAACCAATCAGAAAATGGCTTTCTTATCCAAATGGTTAAATTTGTGAGAACAAAACTGACTTTTCCATTAAAGGGAAAGTATTGTGACCAAATATTGGAGACCAGTTCACCTCACAATCACACAAAGAATGTGATAGGCTATGAACCAGCAGGTAACAATAGAATGTCAAAATAGGTATGTCATTTATGTTTTAATAAACTAAACAAAATGTCAAAACTAGACTTCAATCTAGAAAATAAACAAAATCATATGAGCAAAGAACAAAATTTAAAAAGTGAACTTCTAATATATCTAGAGTCTATATTGAACATTTCTTAGGGGGGATAATCTCATTGGTTAGTTTATTACATATTGTATTAAACCATTTACATCAAGTTTAACCACAAGCCTGACATTTAAATAACAACATTTTTTAAGGGTTTGGGTAGAGTAATGATATCACTAAGTCTTGACATTGTGAAGAATCTTATTGTGACCTATGCAGGTGGTATATGTATCATTGGTGAAGTTCACACAAATGAGGGAAATTTTTTTTTATACAATATGTTTTCAAAGTTCAAATGCTAGCTATAGACAAATACATGTATGTACACACAGCAGTTCTCACTCATTTAAGAAAAATGCTTACAACTTTAGATTTTTTAAAAAGCCACTGGATTCAGCATTTTGGCATCATGACAAATACAAAATCTGACAAGTCTAACAATTAAAATCAGAAAGGAGAATGGTTCTTCAGATTTCTGTACAATTAATACATTCATTAACAATATTTACATACAGGTATGTCATACAATTTCATGCCTAACAAAACCTACTCCTGTACAATTTTACAGTTTAACAAAATCTAGCACTATCATGTATACTGGATAGTTATTATATGTACATATTTTATATTCAATAATTAGTCATTGTAGAAAAAACCACTGTGACATTTACTTCATGGTAAGGCAACAGCAGCTGGTTTTGTTAATCTCATCCAAAATATTCCTCATCAACAATTCATAAAATGTCACTAAAGCTATGAAATTATTATAATCGGTGACACCCATATAACACAATACGGGTATTGGTATAGAAAATACAATTAATAGATACAGAATTCAAAGACATCTAAATAACAATCATGCACCACCTTCATATTACGAGTCACTGCAAAATTTGACATCAATGCACAACATATCACAAAATTCTGGTAAATACAAATAAAACATGAACAAAAAAGATAACTCAGCATTCTTAAAACTTTAGCATATGCAGAGGTCATTGCTATGGCAACAGTGTATCACAGGTCAGATGGTAAGGATGAAAGGGCACAAGTTCGAGGTCAACAATTGTTGTCCATCTTCAGCTATTTGAGCTCCTGCTATATACAATGGGTCGGTTACTGGCAAATCTGAAGACATAAAATAAACAATTTCATAACAGTTGAAAACAAACTTGCTATTGTTTCCAGCCTAGACAATTTAATAGATACACATATTTAAATTCCATAAAAATGACAATAAAAAATTTCTTATATTTCTTTTCATTAAATTAATAAAATATATTCAAAAAATCAAGATAAGTGATTCTTAAACATCTTTTCATTTTTTTAAACTTATAATATAAGAATACAGAAAATATTTTAAGTCTTTTTTTCCTGAAAAGAAATGGGAAAAGCATCGTTATATATGGTTGGTTATGAAGCAAGATGGAAGTTACTGGCCATTACTGTAAGAAAAAAAAAGAGCAAGAGGGATTACCAGTGAGGTGTGAAGAGAAACGAGACTTCAAGCCAGATACTGTAAAACTGGTCAAATAAGCTTACTCTCTGATCACATATAGGTTAATTCACAGTCTATGGAATCTAACTCAATATTGTGAAAGTTGCAGAAGCTAGGTAATAATTATAATTTATATTAACTCTATACTCTCAGATCTGGGTACAAATGAAATGTGTCAAGAGCGTAAGTGCATAGATGAAGGTGCATATTTAATTCGAATATTACCTGCCATTCACAAATTTGCTTTCACTGATACTTTGTTCTATAAATGAATGAAAGCTGGAATAGTTGGAAACAGAAAAAAAACATGACTTTGTCCTGATAATTTTGTATAGACAAATGTGTGAGCTGAAAAATTTTCTCCAGCAGATTTTTTTTTACTTTGATTCTGAACAGACTCTGATTATTGAAATGGGAAGGGAAACACTCTATATTATATTTACATTTAGTGTAATTTTCCTCATGAAATCCATTAGAAATCCACGACGTTTAAATTTCTATAACACATGCGAAACCTTGTCACCGCGCGTTAGAATACAAAGTAGGAACTATATGCATTTTCAATACTCTAAGAACACTAAAATGTAAAATGTTCTATTTCAATTTAATGAAAAACTTTAACCCTGAAAAATTAACGTAAAAATTAAGGTAATGTGCGTTAATAATTAATTTGTCACTTTTTTCCTCGCAATGTTTGTTTGAGTCATTTAACTTTGCAACGTCATCTAACGTCATTTGACGTCACAAACAGCTCTTACATCTATTAACCACGACAGTTTTGAAGGGCGCTAAATTCACATTTGAGATTAACGAAATAAGCAATTATGAAGAAGGAAAATTAGGGAATGTAAATATAAGCATTGAATTCATATTTTGGGATGTCTTCGGTCCTATAACACACCTGGCCGTGCCGACAAATTATCATACCGCGCTAAGCACTATTTATTTTGTCGGCACGGCCAGGTGTGTTATAGGACCGAAGACATCCCAAAATATGAATTCAATGCTTAAATAAACCCCTCCCCCCTATAAAAACCCACATACATACATTTTACAATTATTGATCAAATTGTGATCCATAGTCCTATTATATTTTTATGAAGTTTCAATTAATTCCCTAGCCTATCTTTTTTATATAAGAGGCAGCAGTGACACTATTCCCTTCAATTAATTCCTAAAAATAAATGTCTTATGGTCACAATGGACCAAATAGATGCATGCACAAAAGACATACTGTATGTATTGTCTGAATTAATTTGCTTCATTAAACAAAATTTTTTAAACCTAGACAGAAACTCTATAAATTAAGCTAGCAGGGTAAAATGCTTCTTAATTGTTTTTTTTTCATCAGTTAATCAGTACACGTGTAAGATGTTTTTCATCTTGAGCATTCTTCAAAGTAGCACAGAACATGTTAGGAGGCTTTACAAGCAAAGTAGTGATAATGTAGTTGAACTGTCCAGAAAAAAAGGAACAGTTTCAACTTAGAAATTCTAACTCACGATGAAAAAGCCATCTAAAAGTGGGACCTGAAAGTGTACATCAAACGTAAAACTACTATGGCACACACTGTTTTACATGCTCTTTGACAATACCAAATTAAATGAAATGATTATCTTCTACACAATATTCTTTTTATCACTGTCCTTGCCCTAGACAAACCTGTATTTTCCTGATCAATTTTTTTTTAAAGATATTAACGATGCATCAAGACACCACACAATCTCATCAAGGGACTTAATTCCAAATTGTACTTAAAAGTAAAACAAGTGTCTAGTTGTATTCATTCTGAAATAAGGTATCTGGGGTTTCTTATATCTGTACATGCACATTTTTCAATGGGGCTACAAGCTTTTTTTCTTCAGCCAAAAACCACATTGTCTTCAGTGTATATACATGTATATCCAGATTACAGGTATTCTGTATATTATAACCATATACACCATCTTCAGTTGCAGTGAAGTAAAAGCACTAAAATATAGCTGGTGAACATAAACCACCTTCTAACTTGTATAAAACTATAAAGCTCTTCATTATAAATGTTTGTAATGGGTGCAAAATTTGGCTTCATCTCAACATGCTGATAAAACCTGTACAGATATTTATGTATAACTGATAAAATGCTCCCTTTTAATAAGCTGACACTTACCCTATCTGACTACTTTTTAATGCTAAAAATTTTAGCAAACCATTTTAATAGCAGTTTTCAAAACACTTAGGAAATATTACATTTATTTTAAGTTAATTTAGCCAAAATTTTATTTAGTGAATGTAATGTTCAGTTTTACTTTCTTATGGATATTATGTTAGACTTAAAATAAAACAATCATGCAACAATTATTTGGTAACAAAATAAAAATGAAAAAAAAATCAGTTTATATCATGCATAAAAAAATCCATTCTAGGCATAAAATATGGCTCTCGAGATTCAATTTCTGAAGGGGAAAATTTTTAAATTAAATATTAATACAAAAAAATAGGGATTTATAAAAATCCCCAGTATACTCAACATCACATTTAAATGGACTCGGAATATAATTTTCGGATAATTTGTAATTAAATGATTTAGAAATTTTGAAACAATCAATCCTAAGAGCCCTAGCATTGACAATAAAAAATAAACCTATCACATTTCATTCAACCAATCAGATTGCTCCTTACTTTCTCTGCCTCCTTTCCGCACTCTTCTGTATTAGGTTCTGCTCTGTCTCCCTCAGGTCTTCTTGCAGTCGGTTAGCACGATCAAACTGCCCCACTCTCATCAGCTCATTTATGTTAGTTTGCAAGTCTTCCTTTTTGTCCCTAAGATCTTGTATGCATGAGTAGATTTCACTATCATCAGACTCCTATAAAAAATAATCTCAAGATTATGAATATATTGAGTTTTTCATCCTAGAAGTAGGCATGTCAATAATTTAAAGATATATCTAAGTATCCTGTACATTTTAAAATTTTTTGAGAACATCTGGGAAATCCAGAAAGACATCAGCTCAATCCTGTACAACAGTTACATTTTACTCCACTACATACACTTATCTACAAGCATAGCAGACCTTTGGATTTCTCTTGTCCACATGGATCAGTAAAGCTGCCATCTCCATTTCCTCAGAGAAACCATTCTTCAGAGGCACACTACGATAACCTGTTAATTCAAACATACTCTTAAAGTCAATAAAAAATTGCAGCAAAGGTAAGTCATACATTTATCATATGCTAAAAATATTAGGGATGTCAACGAGTACCCGGTTAACCGGGTACTCGATCGAACGTCCGAGTATCGAATACTAAAATCAGTACTCGGTTACTCGGATGTATATTTCTGAATATTTCTTAGCTTATTTATTAATCCATGAAACAATCTGTTTTAAAACGTAAAATGCTCATTGCACTTGTACATACAGTAATTAGGGTTCCCACACCTCTAAATGACCGTTATCGCCTTTGGCAGTGTTTATATAGTAATTATCGTGACCAAGCACCTGTTACCTGGCTTTTCTCATCTTTGGCTGTCTTTCACCCTTATTTTTGATTTGCTTTAATTACTTGTTTTCACTGAACATCGTTTAAGGTCTATTATGTTTAAATAAATTAGATAATTTTGTCAATTCTCCGAGAAGCCGTAAGTTCTCGAAAAAGAGACAGATGATATTACACGTGCGTTTGTTGATATGGTTGTGTTTGATTACACACCAATACAAATGGTTGAAGGCAAAGACTTTTAAAAACTGATGCTACAAAATACCGTCCCGTAATACTATAAAATATTGGAGTGAAAAAGTGTGCGAAAATCGTAAATCCGCTCTGTTATGAGAAATCAAGTTCAAGTTCTACTTGATACTGTACATAGCTGCAACAAAGAGTTACAATTATGAAACGAGTATTTTTTTTTAAACAAAGACAGTGTGAACCACTAATGATTTTATTTCTTGTGTTTATCTGATATTAAAAAAACGTTATATTAAATTTCGTCGGGCACGAAGTGCTTATCATTGTTACAACAGAAATACATTTACGGGTAAACCTCCTATCAAAGCATGTGTTTTTATTTCTACAAGTCGAAGAGTTTGTACAATGTTTTACAGTCAGCAATTTATTTGTTCATTTTTATTTACACTTTTTACCGAGTACCCGGGTACTCGATCGGAAAAACGTCCGAGTAACCGAATACTAAAAATTGACCGATTTGACATCCCTAAAAAATATATATATAATATTGGGCTTAAGAAAAGCTGAATGTCTGTTTATAAAATGAATTTAGTATCAAAACATGAAGAAAAACTTTCTCTTTTCTGACAAATTTTAATTTTTTAAAAAATTTAATTTTGTTTTAAATGCAGTGTTATCAAAGTCCCACAATGACTGTCAACTGTCTGATGTACAGTGGATGGCTCACCAGACTTGAGACAAACCACGGGGTAGGTGGCCTGTCCTACAAAGTTAGGCTCCCCAAATGTGTCCTCATCATACACCACAAATCTGATCAGAGCCATTTCTGGACAAATCAAATCAAATATTCCACTATTCTGGTCCTTCCAGATAGGGTTAAGTCCATTGGGTGGGCCTGAAAACAGAATAACACTTTAAAACTACTTTTTAAACAAATATATGACTTTTCTCAAGTGATAAAATATCCTTCTTGAAATTTAGAGTAAGTTACATATAAATTTGTCTCATTTAAAAATTTACATGTCCTCCTTACTTATAGTGTTGGTCTTGAATTTACTCTTGTCATATTCAAGTCCAGCAATCTCTATTTCCACAAATGGACTGATGATTCCTTTTCCTGATTTGACAAGATGTCTGGCACCAATAATCTTTAGTAAAGGCAACATGTTAATATAAATATGCATCATTCTACACCTGCATCAGGTTTTAATTTTTACAAGGAAAATTTTCAAACTATATTTTAAAATTAAAAAAAATTCATCTCCTATTTTAGCAACAGTGCTTTTATCCTTCTTTAAAGCTGAACACTACTCGTTAATAGGCATAGTCCGCCATATTTCCCGTTCTTCAACGCTCTCCCTACAACCCGTATATAAGGAGCAGATCGCTAAAGTTCAATGTATTTCACTGTAGAGATCCGACGAGTGTAGACGTACATCTTACAAAGCCGTGCTGCTCGGTCGCGATGAAATTATCAAATTTAACGTGTTTTTTCCAAAACAGGACAAAAGTATCTTGAAAAATACAGGCCAATACATTATTTACAAACAGAAAATGCACTTAAAAACAAAGAATAAAAGCAAAAAACCTAAGACCACGAAAGGGGTACTACATGTCGGCCACGAGTTTCGAGTGTGCAATCGGGTGTAACGAAATTGAACGGTTTATATACCCGTCTGACAGTGCCTATTTATGACAAGTGTTCAGCTTTAAATAAGAGATGCAGTGCAAATCTAGATTATGCATCTATTTATGCCCTAGAGATTAATTCTAATTGAATGAAAACTGTAAAAGAAGTATACATATCATTATATAGCATCTTTGACCAATCAAATTAAAAACTGCCAATACCTTTATAGATAAGGTTAAGGGGTCAACATCTTTAATGGACTGCTTGTTACAGGGGTCAAACTCTGGTCTCCTCATTATATCAGGCTGGAGGACAAAACCACATTTGCCGTTATTTAGGAACCTCCCCTCATTTAGCTGCATGGAACGGTCCGGTGTCTGGTAATTCAGGGCCACCATCTGGCATCCCACATTCCACATCGGCATCGGGTCATAGTTCGAGGAGTCTACCCGACCTCCCTTTGGATAGCAGCGACTTAACTGAGTTCTATTATAAGTAACAAGGTTAAGGTCCATTTTCAAATAATATAATGAATTGCATCACTATGGTTACGTATGGTACTTGATCATCTGGAACTACATGCATATTTATATGATTTACAAAATGATCAATGTGTCAATGACTGATGTGTTGCATCTTATCGATGATATGTACCAATGCATTGTATTGGTAAGCTACATGAACAGGTTTTACAAGGCTTACGGAAGAGGTACAAAATAAATTACATGAAAGTCAACATATCAAACAACAATTCAAAAGGAGTGGAAATTACTTCTCTTTCAGTGTTAATTCATTAAGAATGTGTTCTCTGTAAGAGTATTTTGCTGAGATGAAAATGCAAATTTAGACAACTTTTAATATGGAGATTCCTTATTGCAGCAATCTTATTGAATAAAAGGATATTGTAAGAAGAAATGAGCAAATGCCTGTGAGCAGTATTTATCAATCTTGATCTCAGAGAAGGACGACATTTCCGATATGTGAGTCATCTTCTTCAATACCTCTGTCGGAAAAAAAACAATATATTAACTTCATATTTAATATGATGATGCTAACTCCCTAAAGTCTGCTGCAACATAAAAGTCCAATGAATGATAACATTTTGCTTAAGAAAAATCAATTCAAGGCAAATTTTTTTCTCATCAATTACAAATGAGCATAATTCTGCAAGTAATGATGTAAGTGAGTAAATTTTATTTATGGTTGGATTAAATGACAAATGTACATAGAATTTTTAAGCATTATCTTCAGATTATCTACTCTGAAAGCCATTTCAAATAGTAGCGTGCATGAGTAAATCTAATTTAACATACTTTCGTGATCAAATGGCACAGCAACAGCATAAATAATAAGATCTGACAAATCCCTAGCAAGGCACTTCCTCTTTTCCATTAATTTGTCCACCATTTTCTATCCAAAACACAAACAAAAGATGCAAAATAATAGATGTAAATGGGATACATGATTTTAAAACTATTTTAAACTGGTAATCATGTTGACATGGTTAAGGAAAATGTTTCCATACAATCTTTTTTTCAAGAATTGACAAGTACTTGATTTCTTCATAAAAATCTTTAAATCCTTAGTAAGTCTTTAAAATTAAACAGCAATGAATGTACATTTAGTAAGTAATCTAGTTAATAGAGATATCTGATACACTAACTGACCTCCCCTGCCATTTTAGAGGTGCACTGATCAATGGCTTCTAACCACTGCATCATCTGTTCCTCAGAATCCACGGCCACTTCTATTGGGTTTGGCATTGTACGAGTAAAAATCTTGAATGTGTGTAACCTGTCTGGGCGACCACTGCGTTCTGAAGGGGCAATTTATCAACAAAATTAAGAATCAAAAAGTTTGTACTGAAAATGCTTAACATCTAGACTTTTGACACTGTACAATAGCATGTATATTAAACACAATTCCGGAAAATTTAACAATGAAATAAATTTTTTAACTTATGCTTTCATAGAACAGTAAAATACATGTACAAAGAAGCTATTTGTAGTACAGAACAGCAGTTCGTACCTAAGCGGCAGCCTTGTATCTCTACAGAACCTTTCTGGAGGGTTCCCAGGGGTTCCTGGTCATTAGCCTCATCTTCCTCTAGCTCCTCCACCAGGTGACCGGGGAACAGCATGGGTCCACGACTGGTGGGGGTCTCTCCTCTCCACCTGTACAAAGAGACACTCATTTGTATTGTATATCAGATGATTAAGAGATACTGATATGGTTCATCATTCTATTTATAAAAGCAAATTTTAAATGTGACATCAAGTGACCTTTCACGGTTATTTTCACAATATGCCAAAATATTATTCCATGGCCACTAGAAAGCATGACTCAAAATATCAACATATGTATATCACCATTTTTAAACAGATACTAATATACAAGAGCCCCAGGGGCCACATACCTGAGCATATATATAAAAGGTTCACTGTAGGGGGGGGGGGGGTTGAATTTTAATACTACTTGAGATTGCCTTCATATTACTACAGCATATGACTTTGCTGTTCTTGATAAAAAGATTTTTTTAAAACATTTTCTTCCTATATATAACTTCATAATAATTTGAATTTGATTCCCCATTGTTTCCCTCCATACCCTAAAGGGCCATGATTTGAATAAATTTAAAGCTTCAATATATGAGGATGCTTAAATGTCAATATGACTAAACATAGCTTTTCATCTTGGGATTTTTTCTATATTTTTCTATGTAAAACCAGATCCACCATTGTGGCCCCACCTTACCCTTGGTGGTTATATTTGAACAAATTTAATTCTACACTACCCGAAAATGCTTCCATATAAATACTAGTATTACTAATAATGGCTTTGCTATTCTTGAGAAGATTTTTTTTTATATATATTTTTAAATTAATGTAAAACTTGGATCCCCCATTGTGGCCCACCCTATCCCTGGGGGTTATGATTTGAACAAACTAGAATCTACACTACCTGAGGATGATTCCACATAAATATCACTAATCAAGGCTTTAAAGTACTTGAGAAGACGATTTTAAAATATTTCCCTATCTAGTCCTGTGTAGAACTTTGATCAGCCATTTTGCCCCCCCCCCAATCCCCAGGGGTCATGATTTGAACAAACTTGAATCTACACTACCTGAGGATGATCTCACATAAGTTTCATCTTTCCTGGCCCAGTGGTTCTTGAGAAGCTATGTAAAACTTTGATCGGCCATTGTGGCCCCATCCTACCCCTGGGGGTTATGATTTGAACAAACTTGAATGTACTATCTTAGGAGATTCCACGTGAGTTTCATCTTTCTTGGCACCGTGATTCTTGAGAAGATAATTTTTAAAGATTTTCCCTATATACTCCTATGTAAAACTTTGATCGGCCATTGTGGCCCCACCCTACAAAGAACAAATTAAACACACATGCTTTCACATGAGTTTAAATGGCCCTGTGGTTCCTGAGAAGAAGATTTTTAAAGATTTTCCCTATATACTCCTATGTAAAACTTTGATCGGCCATTGTGGCCCCACCCTACCATTGGGGGTCATGATTTGAACAAATTTGAATCTACACTACCTGAGGATGATTCCACATGAGTTTCATCTTTCCCGGCCCAGTGGTTCTTGAGAAGAAGATTTTTGAAAAATGCCATTAATTTTTCACTGATTCATAATTATCTCCCCTTTGAAAAGGGCTTGGCCCTTCATTTGAACAAACTTGAATCCCCTTCACCTAATGATACTTTGTGGCAAGTTTGGTTGAAATTGGCCCAGTGGTTCTTGAGAAGAAGATGAAAATGTGAAAAGTTTACGCCGACGACAACGACGGACAAATTTTGATCAGAAAAGCTCACTTGAGCCTTCGGCTCAGGTGAGCTAATAACTATCATCAAGCAGTATAATTTGATGCAAATAAAAAGAGAGTTTCATGAAGGACTTTTTGGCGTCCCCTTCATATTTCTATATACTTACCAGCCATTGTCTGTTTTTGTGATATTTGTAATAATGGTTCCTTTGCTGAAAGACAGCTCATCATTTCGACTGGCCGTGTAGTCATATAAGGCACGACCCCTTAGCTACAAAGATCAAACACACATTGATAAATCACTTTAACATTCTCCGCCATACAAATGAGATCTTATGCTTGAAACATATCAAAAGAGTCTTTGAAAACAAGTTAATAAAAGCATAAAAATACTTTGTAAAATTGAGAAAAATGCCTTTATAAAAATAAACAAAGGTCAACAAACAAAATTATTTTAAAACAGGTATTAAAGTTTAAAACAAAGTTTTAGGAAAACAAAAAAAAAACTTAAATTAACAAGTATAACTTTTATTTTCCTTTATACTGTTCTCACCTCTCTATCTCCTGCAATTAATAATAATTTCTTATAAAACACAATGCCCCCATTGCTTCCATGAAAAATGGACCTCCTAGTCTGCATCATTAACCATGCAAGTTTGAGCTAGCTAATGCTAAAATAAGTCAGGCAGAGCATCTGAAACAAGCTGGCAGTTGTATCATCTATGCAAGTTTGATCATGACATGAAATAAAGTCTTTGCAAAATGCAAATGCAGTGACAAAAGTAACCACAGTGAAATTCTGCAGAAAAGGTTATCGAAGAAATAATATACAATAGTTGCACTGGTCATTGTGCTACACAGGACCAGCTTATACTGAAATCGAAAACTTGTATCCTCTTAAATCATCTTATAATATAAGTATTACATACAATATGTTGTACCTTTTTCCTGAAGGCATTATTTTTAAAATCATTGATCTATAAATAGTATAAACCTGACACAAGTAGAGGAGCAGACAGAACACATGAGTCAATTTCTACTTTTCTTATCTGTAAATTTGGCTTATAATAATATGCACACACAAAAAAATGCATCATATTAAGTTTAAGCATGCAAGATCTATACACTCAAACCATATAGAACTGTAAACATTCATTTCCAAAGTGAAAGTTGAAACTATTATAAAGAGCTATGGAAAGCTTGTGTATTTATATAAATAGTGTTTGTTAATAATGATATGTGTATATTTATTAGTTTATATGAATGATTTAAAATGACCAAATAATGTATACCTTAAATTATATATTGTATAGATGCTTTTAAAAATTGAACTTTATCAACAATAATTTATTGCAAAGATACATCTTAACCTGTTTAAGATTTATTACTATTACATGTATCTCTAATAACAACAAAGTTCCATGATGAAATATGTTCTCACTTGTATGTGAGTATTGTATAATGCATTGTGTTCTTTGACCTTTGATTTGCTATACAGATTAGCCTTACTGTTGAGGATTAAAGGATCAAGTGTCAAGGTCAAAGGCAGGGCCATTTTCCTAACCAATATGATGTTTATATCTAAGATCTGACCTAGCAAATCACCAAAGGAACGAGTCTTTGGGGGGGGGGGGGTGTCAAAAGGTCAAGGTCAGACATACTGTATTTGTTGGGCCAAAATGAGAGGATACTTTGAATACATCTTGACTGTGTATTATGAGTCTTTGATGGATAGCAGCTTCTGCTTGATCTAGCAAATTTAGAAACACTAAATCAATTCTTCACTTGTTGACAATTCAATTTCCATCAACTAATATGCTTACTTAATTATTTGTATTTTCTTTCTCAGACTTGCTTCAGAGGTTGTGGTTTGTCCAAGGGTATAAGCCTATTCATTTCATGGTCAAAAGTTCATGGTTAAATTATGGTTTTTTCCCACCTAAAGGTCATGTTGTAATATTTAGGATAATTTATCATAGAATCAGAAAATCAAAGGTCAAGGACAGAAATTGGCATGTATCATGTTGCTAATGACATATCATTTCATTGTTTAAAAAGCCCTGTTCTTTGAATAAACTTATGTTGTAAAGTAATGTGCTTCTGTCTACACTTGAAATAAATCCTCTTTAGTCAGAATGTGCATTCCGCTAATTTACAAGTTCAAATAAAAATAAATGATGAAAACCTCCACCAAACAATTAATATTTCAAAACAACATACAATATGCATAGGTAATTTTTCTACATTTAGTTCACAATATCAAACAACACTTAAACTATAATGTCTGCCTCCTGTTTACCTTTGTTTGTGGAAAAATCTCATTTGGCATGTGGTAAATTCCGTCACCATATAACTGCTCATCTCCATTTTGAAAAACCTAAAAGATACCAGCATGCACTCAAGCTGTTAGTTAAAGAGACAAATCACATTCATGTCAGACTATGTGGCATACCCCTCATGTTATTATGGAGAGAAAATTACAGATGACAAAACAGATGATGAAAACACTATGTCACCAACAAATCCTTTCATGATAAAGACATGATTTTGGGCAATGAGTTATAGGATAGCAAAGTTGCAGGCAGAGACTTTTCAAAATTTTCCCTTATGAAAAAAGAGCAGAGCATTTCTGATGCAATTTGTGATTTATTTTTTTTTTAACAGATTTATAAATGATCAGTCAGTGTCCACTATAATGATGTTAGATTGAAGATGAAGTGATTCATGCCATAGAATGACCTCTCCTGGTTTTTCATTCCATTTCTAGTGCGCATGCACTTACTCCAAGACTTTTACCTTAGACAACTCATTTGGGTTTATATATGCTGTAGAAGCACTTTCATCAGGTAAGCGTGGCATCTTGGGAGACAAAAACTTTCTTAGCGACGTTATGCAGGTCAGTTTATTAAGGTATTATCAAATATATGTACAAGTATTTAAAGTAATAATTTAATATTTCTGAAATTAGAATGAAAAAAATAAAGTTAAGGAAGAATGACCCTTTGCACTAAGAGAGATAACTCTTATATGTCAAATCAATGTTGCGGCTATTATTGTTGCCTTATGCTATAATGATTTTTTTCAAAATTTATCTCTTATGGTAAATATAATAGAATTGTATTACCATTAAATATTAAATATACAATATTACAGAGTTTTTCATTAAAGCCATCATAGAGTACTTTCCTTTGGAGTGATCTATGAACAAAGAAAAGGGCATTCTACATTTTAAAAAAGAAAAACATCTTTTATAATGTATGTTCAATACTTACAGCTCCTTTTGTGTCCACCAGATTTTGGCTGACAGGAATCTTTAACTTCACTTTATTGTAGAGTGGATTTTTCTCATAATATTTCACCAAGTCTATCAAACTTTCAAACTGAGCTGATCCAATGGCAAACAACCGCCCATCCAATTCAATGCGACAATGTTTAATTTTTCCATCAGCCCTAAAATATCATTTATTATATAAATTTTACTATATTTTTAACAAATATCAAATTCTAGTTCTGTTAGAGTTTTTTGGTAAAATAGAAATACAAATCACTGAATAGAAAGGAAAGAACCAATTCTACTCTTAGCTGGAACTGGACAGCAGAAGAGAACAACCAAACATTTCTCTGAACAAGTTATACATGTATCTGTTAAAAGCATTACCTGAAAGAGATTGCGTAACTATCCCCCGCCTGGCCCCTCCTGATTAGGAAAGCCCCATCACTTGGGATCCTCTTGAGCATGTTTTCAGCTGCAGCACGACTTAAGTTGTCATGATACCACTCCTTGTCTTCATGGCTCTTCAGCTGCGGCACTGGTTCTGTTAATTTCATCACAAAACTGGGGCTCCTTAGGGGAACTTGACGGTAATATGTAATTAAGTCATACAGACTGTCAAATAATGTTGTCTCTATTAAGTAGTATTTAACTTGGCCCATCTCTTGTTTAGACTTAATCCGACAGTGCTCCACTGCATTTCTTCTCCTGAAAAAAAAACAATATTAATAATTGGCTATGATTCTTGATTGGCTTAGATTAGGTTATTGGTTTTTAATGTTGCTTGAGATAAGTTGAGAAATTTTCCCACTACTAACCAAAGCATAGCAGAGATAAATGGAACTACAGTGTACTACAAATCTGGAGAGTTTTCAACGTTTTTAAATATGAATATCAAGTGCATAAAATGTACAATATCATTTCCCTGATCCATTTTATTTCAATTGTTACTTTCTTGTGACATTTGTCGATGAGTCCTATACTGTATTTGATTTCAAAGATAACTGGAAATGAATTATAAACATACAGTATAAAAAATAAATATATTTTATATACTAACAACTGAATTTAATGCCAAAAATATAGCGAAATATTTTATTTTATTTTTACCAGAAAGATAAAGAGAAGTCTCCGATGAAGGTATCACTTTCCCTGACCAGGAAGGTCCCGTCTCCTAGGTAACTGTACTCGTTCAGTAGTTCTATGGCGGTCCTTCTACCTCCCTCCAGTTTCCCATGGAACCATTTCTCCCCAAAGTGAAGTTCATCTTGAGGCCTGTCACCCAGCTGTAAGGGGAGGTAATTGGAGATTAATCATGATCACTCAGAAATAAAATAATGAATAAGCTCAATTCTTTTAATTACATAAGAATGTTAAAATCAACAAGCAATCTATTCATACATTGAAACAGGTTTCTTTAAAACCTTTAAACACTTTGATTTGAATACCAGAGAAAGGAAAGGTAATTTACCTAAACATTTTATATCACGTTAAGACAATATATCATTATTAAACATTTTTTTTCAAGACTGGAAACCCATTGGATTACATAGCCTAGGATGACACTACTGTAGGTAAAAGTTTCAACGAAGCAAAGTTTTTCTATCCTCTATATGAAATATCCATAAAACATGAGTATCATTAGCCAAAAGTCACCCAACCATTGTGAATTTCTTGTCAAAGAACTAATCTAGCTACAACTGGGACTGAATCTCTCCAGTCTCCACTCATGTGACATAAAGTTCACATCCTTTGCCAGCCAGAAGTATAAAGAATGTAGTGTTGTAAAATTGGACAAATTTTACTATCGATTATCAAATTGAATCGGAAGAACACAACTGATTACATAATTGATAATTTGAACTGATAAAAAAGGTTAAATTTATTCATCCTTAGAAGTATTTTAAATAGACTGCACCAGGATATGGATATAATTCGGCGCCAACCTCTTCACCATGCATGTTCACCATTTTGTTTACCGCTGATGAGAGTGACGTCCCTTTGCAATCTCTACCCAGAGTTGTCATTCGCTTCGCCACAACACCTCTGTCAACGTCTAAATGCCAAGATTCTTGGCAAAACTTACTTAACTATTGAATAATAAATTATAAATGTAAACCTGCTATATTCTTGTTTAACATGTTGAATAAAATTTTATTTATGAAAATTAGAATCAGATATCGCTTTTTTCACTATATCCTATAAGGGAATATTTCTCGGCAGGATATTACGAACGTGGAAAATTTGAAATGCATTGCCGATAATTATCAACATGGTTTAGTTTTTATAGACAAACAACTTGCAGCATTAACACATATATAGAAATGTTAAAGTTTTAAGGCCATATAAAATTAATCTTGTCGAGAGATTCTGGTTTGAACTTATAGCAAAGGAAGAGAAAGTACTTAAGCCGCAGCCGCCCCTCTTGTGTCAAAATGTCCCGCCCCGATGTTTTTTATTTTGATTTTTGGGTATTTTCGTGTATTTTTATGTGTCAGTAAGAATTTGGGTCAAAGTTTACAGAGTTATCTCCCATCTGTATTAAAAGTCGCGTGTCGCTATTTATAGCAAAAACGCCATGTGAAGAATGGAGAAAAATCGGCAATAGTGTCCAAGGAAAAGATGATTTGTCAGTACTTGTGTGAGAAGGCAGAGAAGAAAAAATAGCATAAACACATATAGATACCATCACTGGCAGGAGCAAGTATGTAGAGAGATTGTAACTAAGTAAAAATTAAAATAGACGAGGAAAATGACGCCTGGTCAAGTTATATATAACGATCTCTAGCTGTGTGACTTAGCTTTGAAATAAAAAAAAATCTACAACATCGTAGACAGACTTAAGAGAAGGCCTAGATTTTTCAGTAGAATAGAACATTTATATAGATTTTGCAAAATAAGAAGTCACGCATACACAATTAATTGGTATCCCCACCTCATTTTGTTCAGGGTGTGCCGTATAGTGTGTACTTGATAATTTGTTAATTAACAATAAATATTTAACTTTTAAAGCAAAAATTTTCTTTAGATATTTAAAAGAATATGAAAAGAATTAAATCTATTCATATTTGCATTAAGGTAATGAAAAAAATGTGTACGGGGCGTCCATTGTTTCGTTGATACTTAGGCCTATATATAAATTAACAATTATAAAAAAATAAAAAATAAAATCCGCCCACCCGCCCCAATTTTTTTGCAAATTAGGATGAGAATCTTAAGATTAATTTTACCTGGCCTAATCTTGTTGTGGACAATTTTAAACAATACTTTTTAAACCAGAAGTCTCTGTCGAGACTGTAGCTCTACTGGTTTGTACTTATCAAAAACCATTGCACTATTTTACGTATCTTTGTGTAGTCTATTTTGCGAATAATTAGTTTAAACTGCAATATTTATAGCGAAATCAAACTAAAACTGTAGAAGGAGTAGCGTTTTAAAGGAATTTCACAGAGAATTCTATTTTAGTAACCATGGTAACATCATTAATCCAAATCAAAAACCAATGCACTATTCTATGTATCTTAGTGTAGTCTACTTGTGTGCCAAGTTATATTGAAATCAGACCAAAACTGTAGAAGGAGTAGCGTTTTAAAGGAATTTCACAGAAAATTCTATTTTTAGTAACCATGGCAACACCGTTCATCGAAATCAAAAACAGATGCACTATTCTATGTATCTTAGTGTAGTCTACTTGTGTGCCAAGTTATATTGAAATCAGACCAAAACTGTAGAAGGAGTAGCGTTTCAAAGGAATTTCACAGAAAATTTTATTTTTAGTAACCATGGCAACACCGTTCATCGAAATTTAAAACCAATGCACTATTCTATGTATCTTAGTGTAGTCTACTTGTGTGCCAAGTTATATTGAAATCAGACCAAAACTGTAAAAGGAGTAGAATTTAAAGGAATTTCACAGAAAATTCTATTTTCAGTAACCATGGCAACACCGTTCATCGAAATCAAAAAACGATGCACTATTCTATGTATCTTAGTGTAGTCTACTTGTGTGCCAAGTTATATTGAAATCAGACCAAAACTGTAGAAGGAGTAGCGTTTTAAAGGAATTTCACAGAAAATTCTATTTTTAGTAACCATGGCAACACCGTTCATCGAAATTTAAAACCGATGCACTATTCTATGTATCTTAGTGTAGTCTACTTGTGTGCCAAGTTATACTGAAATCAGACCAAAACTGTAGAAGGAGTAGAATTTAAAGGAATTTCACAGAAAATTTTATTTTTAATTAACCATGGCAACACCGTTCATCGAAATCAAAAACCGATCCACTATTCTATGTATCTTAGTGTAGTCTACTTTCGTGCCAGACCAAAACTGTAGAAGGAGTAGCGGTTTTAAGGAATTTCACAGAAAATTCTATTTTTAGTAACCATGGCAACACCGTTCATCGAAATTTAAATCCGATGCACTATTTTATGTACTGGTTCTTCATTGCTGTGTAGAAATCTACAAATTAGTGTTTTTAATTATGGAAATTGTGAAAAAATGAGTATTCATATTATTGGCTATTGAAACAGAAACATTTTTTTTCCCTTAATTAAAAACTGTAGAAGTATAAAATATACATTTTTAAAAACATAACATTGTACCTTAATGTAAGCGGATGTTCTGTAAGAGACACTGTAGCGTTTTAAAGGAATTTCACAGAAAATTCTATTTTTAGCAGATATACCATGGCTAACATCGTTCATCGAAATCAAAAACCGTACATGCACTATTTGTATGTATCTTAGTGTAGTCTACTTAGTCGTGCCAAGTTATATTGAAATCTAGACACAAAATTGTAGGAGGAGTAGCTTTTATTTGAAAAATTGAAAATTTACAGCTTCATATTTTAGCGGCTTAGGCACAAACATTAATGACATTAATTAGCTGCAATAATGGACGCCGGACGCATTACTATCGCATAAGCTCTTCTGGTCTCTGACCAGTAGAGCTAAAAATCATGTTCCTCCACTTCCGTACTACTTTTTAGACGTTGACAGAGGTATAAGTGGAATGATAACTCTGTAGTGTAGAAGAGTCAGTGAAATATTCCCTTTGGTGAATATAAAAGTTAAACCTGCTCATCTCAGGTTAATTGTTTGGGTTACATGTAGAAATACGGCTTGAAAAATATAGCGATCTATCGATGATAATATTTACAATCGATTGTCGCCAATCTGGGCCTTTAAACGACGATTTTTCGATAGTCGGCGACTATCATAACAACACTAAAAGAATGTCTAAAGACAGACTTAGTTTCCTTTTTCTAGAGCTCAATAAACCTTAGATCCAGATGGTAAGATTTCACAATTTTGATAAAGGAATTATAGTTTACATTCTCAAAAATGTACACTGTACATCCATTTTCTCTGCTTATCATGATCATTATAAGCATTTTAAAAATTCAATCGTATGAGGTATTTTTCAATATTTAATCAATTTAGCCTTAAGATTTGCTCTGAAACCAAGATTTGTGGACACAAACTTTATATTTATGGTTGAATTTGGTTGAATTATTTTGCAGAAGGAGCTAAAAATGTTTAATATTTATGAACAAAGCATAACATGATAATGCCTGATAAACAGATAGCAATAGGTCACCTGAGTAACTTGGATAATGTAACAGATAATCAGACATGTGAAACAGTGGTATATGGAAGTGTGTAAGACTGTGACACCTTGTATTACTCCCTTGGCAAAGCAAAATGTAAAGACAAATGGGTCGTATTTGCCAGTGGACAGTGGTGGAAGAAGAGTGAAATACTGTGTAATGGGTATTTTCTGAGATTTTTCAATTTTTGCATGATTTTGAAGTGTATTTAAACTTTCAGGAATTTCTTCAAAGCCTTTTAAATAATGTAGAGTTTTTTCTTTAAAAAAATGAAAGAATGAAAATATGAATGCTAGACAAGAGAGATTATTAAAATTGCAAAAATTTCAAACCACAAAAATACCTAGTAAACAGTAAAACTTAGTGACTGTTTCAGTATTTTGGACAGCTTTTACCTCTTTCACATGCCTTCATTTATTATTATCTCTCTCTCTCTCTCTCTCTCTCTCTCTCTCTCTCTCTCTCTCTCTCTCTCTCTCTCTCTCTCTTTTGTTTCTTTTTGGAAAATACCCTTTTTCTTTTTTGAATCATCCAAATATACTGAAACAGTTTCTCTATAGGTACAGATTCACAGCAAAATCAATTTACCAGTTCACCCACTGAAACACATACACAGTAGAAAGGTAAAAAAAAGTGTTATTTTAAACTGTTTTGAACAAATTTCTTTTTTTGCCAATTAAAAACTTGGAAATTGAACTGGAATCCTGATTTTAATTTTGTATAGGACAAGCCATAACACACCCAATTTCACCTTCTTATTCTCTCTCTGAAATGTTAAGATTCACAAAAAACAATTAAAACTGGATCTAAGCTGATCACTTTTTAAATGGACATCACTTCTAGCATCAATATTAGACAGACATCAAGGACAATTTTTTGTTTATGTTTGATTTTCCCAGTTCAAAAACAACCAAACAAAATTTGAATGATATTTGAAATGACTGTTTTTAAATCTCATGCAAATAAACTGACATTTTGACAGAACAAAAAAAAAAGATCCTGTAAAGAAAATTAAAAATCTGGGGGAAAAAATGATCCACAAAATTGTTTCAGAACTTCAGAAAGGTTTTCAAAAAAGATATTTATATCAAGGGTTGAGTTTACAGCACTATTCACAAGGATGAATTTCTGGTACTGTTCTTCTGTTTTGTGTCCACATAATGGGTAGACAGGAATGCCATTTGGTTCCAATATTATAAGATTTTTTTTTTCAAAATTAGATCTGAATTTTGTTCGCACTGATTATTTTTCTTCTATTTTCTCTTTTAAAAGCAATATTTGAAATTTCAACTGCTTGTGGATCTTACTAATATTCTTGACGTCTGCATAAAATTTTGCCTATGAATGAAAAACATGTTTAAGCATAAAAGTGTACCTACCAGTATATTGTTAAAAACAATGCTGTTACCAAAAAAATCAAACAAGCTTCTTTAAATTCCCATCATATTGTTCTGTCAGAGTGTTTCTTTGCAATATTCACAAAATAATGGAAATGTTCATGAACAAGTTTAGTATTAGCAATGTTGCTGTCAGAAGCGTTATCTTTCCTTTAATCGTACCTCCATTGTTGACGTATTATCTTCCTGTTCCTCCTCATCTTCGCCCTGATTGGTCTCTTTGGTCCAGTACATCTTGCTCGGGGTCAGCACAAAAAAGTGGGGATGCCATTGCTTCAAAACAAATCCATAAACAGAATAAACTATAAGCATCACAGACATCTCAGATAAAAATTTCTTCATACCATACAAACTACTATTTAGAAATTCTAAGTTCTCGGTGTAGGCACTTTAGTGATTGTGACTTACACTTTCAATTTGGTCTTCTAAATACATGACACCAGTTTTCACTGCATTTGAAACATCACCATCTCTGGTAACTATTGAGTAAAACACAAATTTAAACAAGTTATATTTATAACAGAAAATATAGAAAAAATATCCCATTATCTATCTAATGTATATTTACATGTAATTAATGAAATAAGAAAATTACCATCATCTACTCTCACTTCCACCAACTCTGCATTCCTGCCTTCACTGGGCAACTTTTTATGCTGAAAATAACATTTTACAAGAATTATATTAATTGTACATGAAGCCTACTTTAACTACCATTTTGGCTTTTTCCAGCATAGTTACATGTATGTAAATATGGCAGCAAAAGGGTTTACCTTGAGAATGACTTTTCTTTTTAGCTGTTCTGGTGAAGGTAACCTTTTGAAGTCACTATCTACAGGTTCCACCAAAAGTTCACCTATGAATGGTAAACAGTGCAGGCAGTTTGAAATACATGTAACATGCAAAACGATTGGCTTTAAAAGGACTGGTATACACTGTACTGGCTTTTCCACAGAATATTCTTATGTGATTTAGGTATCCTTAACATTTCCTCTATGATTCATTCTATTCAACTGACTCTGTGAAAGAGAATAAAGAAACTTACTTCCAAATGTGTCCCTGAAAGCCATTGCCATGTTTCTTTGCTGTCCTAAGCCACAGTGGTTTTCTAATGATAAAATCAGAGGGTAGCTAAAACATAAGACAAATGTGCTGTTAGACCACACTTGTGTAAGTTTTTTTTTTTTAATTCAAAAGATTATATCTAACACATTCACAAGATACAAGTAAAATCAGAATTTTAAATTTTGAGCTTTTTAAAAATGAAGATTTTCATTGCTATACCCGTAAATTGGTTAATATTGTAAACATATAATTTTGCAAGAAATTGTTTTAAAAGAATCTTACTGGGGATCCCATAAATTTGCCATATCCATGTTTATACAAAAATAGTTTTGTTGTATATGCAAATTAGATTTGAACTCACTCTGAAGCAACCCAGGCATGGTCTTTAATGGCACGTAAGACATCTAGAAATTTAATTTTGGAGGTAAGAGTGTGTCCATGGTAAATACTAGGATATCCATCTGGTCCGTCCCAACAGTCCACTGTATAAAGGAAAAGAAATCTGCATTAAAATTCTATCTACTATGTGCACTGATGGAAATTTTGCACATTGATAACAGTTCATAGGAGACATTTCATTTTTATCAAAAAAAATGAAGTTTTGTATAACTGTACTCACATTCAATACATCTACAACCCATTCTTAGAACTCGAACATATGCTTCTACTGAGGACTCACTGGAAATCTGGTCCCCCGTTAGATATCTGAATTAAAAGGTCACATCATACAACATACATTATCAGGGGTATTACAGTCATTTCATTCTTAATACATTAGTCTATCATTTTTAGATAAAGCTCTTTAACACTCTACACAATCTTTGACTGCTTCGATAAGACACATCAAAGATGATAACTCTCTGTTTTATTTTCGTATTTTCAAAATATTTCACATCAACAAAAAGCAGTCTCTGTCTTAGGTATTATGAAAAAAGGCTATACACCAACATAAAGCAATTTATATCTTACATATTATGCGATGAGGCTATCTACCAACATAACGCAGTTTGTATCTTACGTATTATGAGAAGAGGCTATCCAGTAGTGGGCCAGGGGATGTGTCATGTCCTGATAAACCCTATCATACTGCATGTCAAACACCTGGTTATCTTTAGAAAATAAAAAATCCTCAAACTGAAAAGACAAAAAGTTATATCATTTAATGAACATAATGGAAATATCACTCATAATTATAATTCTGAATGCCTGGATAAGTAAATTCTGTAAAAGTAAAAACTGTAATTTCTCCTAGAAGGCTTGAAGAAGCAAAATAGCTATTAAACAGTGTTTTAGCCTTTTTTTTTTTTTTTTACAACTGTACATAAAACTAATTCATTTGAAACAAAGGCAGTGCACAGTGGAGTTTCCCCTCACAAAGAGCAAATCCATAAATCAAGACAGCATTTGACATCAATCCCAATGCAAATTACATCAATTCTGTTTCATACAGGACATAACCCACAAACAAACACACACACACACATGATTGCATTACTTATCCCCTCCATTTCTATTGTGGGGGATATTAAAGAAAAAAAGAGAAATTCAAGTCAGAAGTTCAAGACAGCAAATGGGGAGACACTTGAATGTGTACAAGACTGATTCCCTGTGTAATGAAAATACTGGGGATTGGGAAAATAACTTTATGGTTTTAGTTTCACAATGCTATAATATATAATTTCTGAAAAATAAAACCCATAGTGATCAAGGATAACAAAGTATCTGTCAAAAGGTACATGTTAAAAGACATTGTGATTGGAACCCTTGCGAGAAATTATGAAATTTTAGCCTGTAACAGGGAAAAGAACTTAGAAATGTACCCTAACAGCTGCAAACAACAAAAACTAAATCAAGAGACAGAATGAATCATGATTCTGACCTCAACATCTGTGAAGTAAACATTCCCTCTGTGTCTCATGGGATCCTCCAGGAATTTTACCATTACGTTTCTTACAGTAGTGCCATTCTCTGCAAAGCATTCCTATAAATAGGAAATATGTAAAAATTATACATGTATCCCAAAATGTGAATCCTGCTTATATATGATTTCACATTTTAAGTATAAAAGAAATAAGGACTGAATTACAGACAAATTACCCTACTGAAATGCATTTTGTTTTATTTATAGATTCAAGTTTTTTATCGTAAAGATGAGATTATACAATAAATAAAACCTTTTGTTCTTCTTTTAGGAACCTTTGGAATTTATCTGGGAAGATGCACCTGAAAGATGGAATTTAATTGAAATATACTATGACAAAAATACCCATTCAAAAACTCACATTTCTACATAAATTTCAACACACTTCATATTCACTTTATCAACATAAAATAACATTTTAGTTGATATGAATTTTGGGGAACGTTTGTTCAGAGAATGAGAGGGCAGAATTAATGTAAACCATACTAAAACAATAATTACTAAGTACACGCATGTTTTATTATATTATCTATACATCACCTTTCATTGTGTTCTTCCTCACAGTAATATTCAACATAATTTGTAATAATCTGAAAATTTATAAATTATATATATATACATTAAAAAAAAGGAAGAAATTGTAACATTCTATCATCACATATTAAGTGCTTACGATCATATAAAGTATTTATGAAAAGGTGTAACAAAATAAAGGTCAGACTAATTACTCTCTTTGAATGAAACATGGATGTGAAGTTTACTTATGATTACCTTGGGACATTTTTGATTAAATTATATCACATCTAAAGAAACACACTGTTACAGAAGATATAATAGGATGAACTAGTCATATAATTCAATAGGCGAAATAGCATTTCTCATGCATTTTAATTTTTTTTTTTTTCAAATTCCATAAAGACATAAATAACAAATACATTTAAAGTGCTCAATATTTTGATATATGTCTTACCTCAGGAACATGGATAAGTTTGTGAAATAAAGCTGCAAATTCTTCATATTGAATCTCATCTTTCCGAGACACCTCCTACAAAGGTATCAAAGAAGTTGCAGTCTCAATACTCATTTCTCAAAAGATCATACATTTAATTCATGATCAATATTCAAACAGAAATGAAAATTAATTATCTATTCAACAGAATCAATTATCCATTTAAAATTCGTCCAAGGTCAAATGTCAAAGCCAGGTTAACTTAGCTAAAGTGATGGAAATAATCCCCCTCCCCCTATTCCCCCTGTTTCTTTATGTGTAGGAAGATGAAGTATTAATTCATAAAGGATCAATCTATAATCTCAAGGTCAGATGTCACTGTACATTATAAGTTTTAACTTAAGCACAGAAGAGACTTTATCCTGATTTACATCTGACTGAAGGTTAGAAAACGATGATCTAACAAGAGGCCCATGGGCCACATCGCTCACCTGAGAAGCGTTGACCATTCTGTTCTTTACCAGATTTCCCCCTTGTTATACATAATGCATCCCCACCCTACCCCACTGATCATAATTTAGACATTTTGAAATCTACACTACCCCATGATCCTTCCATGGGCACATAAGCTTTTTTGGCCCAGTGGTTCCTGAGAAGAAGATTTTCAAAGATTTTTCCTATATATTTCTATGTAAAACTTTGATTCCCTAAAATTCCTACAATTTAGAATTTACACTACCCCAGAATGCTTCCACATAAGCTTCACTTTTTCATGCCCAGTGGTTTTTGAGAAGAAGATTTTCAAAGATTTTTCCTATAAATTTCTATCTAAAACTTTGATTCCCCATTGTGGCCCCGCCCTTCCCCTGGGGGTCATTATTTGAACAATTTAGAATCTACATTATACCAGGATGCTTCCACATAAGTTTCAGCTTTTCTGGCCCAGTGGTTCTTGAGAAGAAGATTTTCAAAGATTTTTCCTATATATTTCTATGTAAAACTTTGATACCCCATTGTGGCCCCACCCTTCCCCCGGGGGTCATGATTTGAACAATTTAGAATCTACACTAAACCAGGATGCTTCCACATAAGTTTCAGCTTTTCTTGCCCAGTGGTTCTTGAGAAGAAGATTTTCAAAGATTTTTCCTATATATTTCTATCTAAAACTTTGATTCCCCATTGTGGCCCCGCCCTTCCCCCGGGTGTCATGATTTGAACAATTTAGAATCTACACTACCCCAAGATGCTTCCACATAAGATTCAGCTTTACTGGCCCAGTGGTTCTTGAGAAGAAGATTTTTTAATGACCCAACCCTATTTTTGCCTTTTCTTGATTATCTCCCCTTGCGAGGGGATATGTCCCTTCATTTTAACAATTTAAATTCCCCTTCACCCAAGGATGCTTTGTACCAAGTTTGGTCAAAATTGGCCCAGTGGTTCTTGAGAAGAAGTCGAAAATGTGAAAAGTTTACAGACGGACAGACAGACGGACGGACGGACAGCTAGACGGACGACGGACAAAATGTGATCAGAAAAGCTCACTTGAGCCTTCGGCTCAGGTGAGCTAAAAACTTCATCCACAAGGATGACAACAAATTACAAGGTCAAAGGTTAAGGACAGAGTCAATGTCAATGTCAAAATGTCACGTAAGAAAAAATTATTCTGATATGCTTCAAAGGTAAAACATTAAAACATAAATGGTAAAACATAAGTGACTTTCAGTATTATTCAAATATGTGAAGATCAAAGGTCCAAGCCAAAGCCAACATTGCAATGGTGGTACATGTATTTATTAAAAACATTTCTCCCTGATTGTCTATAAGTGAAGCTAGGAGATTTTAACCTGAGTCACAGGGCTAAGCCTAAGAGCATAACAAAATTCTTCATGCCAATTAATGCTCTGACAGACTTTGTAAATCTGATATCCGATTCTGATCTCTAATTTGGCTAATAACTGTACAGCTCTCTTTTGATTAGGCTACATTTACTAATTTTTCCTATTTAAGAGATGACAAGCTGCATCTGAAGCAAGAATGTTCTTTCCCTTGACCAAAAATCTATATTCCAGGGGCAGCTTAGTATCTGTAAAGCATTTTGATAACTTTTTAACAAATCAATCCACTCCTAGTCATTTATCAACTATCTTGAAAAAATATAATTTAAAAGAGCATTTTAAAGTTTTGCTTTTTCAAAAAAATCTAAGTGTCCACCGTATATAAGCCATGATTACAATAACATGTACACATGACTTACCTGAAATTTATCTCGTAACTTATTGGTGGATATTTTGAGGTTTATTCTTGGCATCCAAGCCTTCATATTTTTCAATGTAACCCTGAAAGTATAAATGCATAATCAGTGAATTTACAGAGGATATTCAATGTTTTGTAGTTGAATATGGAATTTATTTCACAAGTGGGACAGGATTTTTTTTATACATGTATTTTCACGAGTGTGAACTACAAAACATTGAATTTTCTGTTTATTACATTTAAAAAAATTCTTTGATTTTTCTTTTGCCTGTCGTTTTGTAATACAGTCATAGGCTACATGATGATATAGTTGAGCGGTTAAGACGTCAAAGCTAAGTGCTGTAAAAACATTGTAAACATGGATTTAGTAACATATTTTGGTAATTTTGGCTGTTTTATTCTCTGTCAGAATGGTTTATATACTTCTATTTATCTTACATCAGGTCAAGGAAGATTTTTTAACTACACTCTCCATTATGGGAAGGAAAATCGAGAGTTTTCCCGCACTTCTGATATTCGTCACACTGTGACAGGATATCATTTTGATATCCTTTCACACTGTGACAAGATTTCATTTTTATTCAATGAATAAATTACAGTATTTCACTGGTAAAAATGTAATAAACATAAATATTAGAATAACATTGTTTGTTCTAGATAAAGCAGTATGAATTGCAAATATTTCCTTTAGAAAATAGGAAATGTTCATTAAACATGCTATTTTTTGCACCTGATGTTGACATTGACATTTTTTACATTTATAATATTCTTAAGGAATCACTCTCTAGCTAATAGAGTATGCCAGGGCATTAAAAATAGTTGGAAATTGAGATAATTTGCAAAGGAAAAAGCCGTTATGCATTAATTATCCCACATTTCCAACTATCATTTATGTCTCTGACATACTCTACTAACTAGACAGTGATTCCTTGTATTTCCATTTCATGGTAAATTAAAATGTAAATTTAGATTTAAAACATAGGTAATCAAAGATTACAAAGCTCACCTCGACGAATGTTATCAGTTTAAGTAATGCAGATCTCACACATACTTTTTTAATAGTTAGTATTTATCCTGACAATAATAATCGTGCAAGTTCTGTTTCAATAGATCTTAAAGTTCATTGGGGATTGACCTGTTCCAAAAACTTGAACATGGTCACTCATTTGGAAAATGTAGATCAGATCCAGCATCCGAAGCAAGTCTTGATTCTCCATCCTCAGATGCATCATCTATGCAAGTTTGGTCCGGGTAGGGCTTATAGTTTCTTGGGAGTCACTCATTTGGAACATGTAGGTCAGATCCAGCATCCGAAGCAAATCAGATAGTGTCCATCCTTAGATGCATCATCCATGCAAGTTTGGTCCAGATAGAGCTTATGTTTCTTGGGAATAACCTGGTCACTCATCTGGAAAATGTAGGTCAGATCCAGCCTTAGAAGCAAGTCTGATAGTGTCCATCCTTAGATGCAAAATATAGTTTGGCCCAAGTAAATATACTTGAGCAAAATAGTTTATATACTAAAACTTGGAAATTGTAGGTCAGATCCAGAATCTGAAGCAAGTCTGATAGTGTCCATCCCTAGATGCATCATCCATGCAAGTTTGATTTGGGTAGGGCTGATAGTTACTTGAGAAAAGACCTGCATCAAAAACTTTATTTAACCTGGTTGCTCATTTGGAAAATGTAGGTCAGATCAAGCATCTGAAGCAAACTTGGTAGTGTTCATCCTTAGATTCATCATCCATGCAAGTTTGGTCCAGGTAGGGCTTATAGTTACCTGGAATGGACCTTCTCCAAAAACATTAACCTGGTCACTCATCTGGAAAATGGAGGTCAGATCCAGCACCTGAAGCAAGTCTGGTAGTGTTCATCCCTAGATGCATCATCCATGCAAGTTTGGTCTGGGTAAGGCTTATAGTTACTTGGGAATGGACCTGCTCCTAAAACTTTAACCTGATCACTCATCCGGAAAATGTAGGTCAGATCCAGCATCCGAAGCAAGTCTGATAGTGTCCATCCCTATATGCATCATCCATGCAAGTTTGGTCCAGGTAGGGCTTATAGTAACTTGGGAATGGACTTGCTCCTAAAACTTTAACCTGGGACGCCGACATCAACGCCAACGCCGGGGGTATGGCATAAGCTCATCTCGACTTCGTCGAGGTGAGATAAAAATTTAGACTAATAGATTTAAATTAAACATGTCAATTTCAATTGTCCCCGCCCACTGACGTCAAACACAAAGACAGTGGCATGAGATTTACATGCATATTTGGCCCCTTGGCGTCAGACACAAAGACAGACACACAAGATTTACAAGCACATAAGGCCTCCTCAGCTCCTGACATATCATTTGACGAAATTTACATGCCAGTAGAATGTACAAGAAATCAAATAAACTAACTTTGAAAGAATTATCACAGAGAAAACATATTTCACACCGTCACCATGGGTTACATTCCAATACCCTATATAATTCAAGTACCATCCCAAATTCATATCATGAATTAGGACCAATGTGCAAAAAGTATATCAACCCAAAAAATATATTTTTACTACATAAATATACATGCAAAATAGTTTACCGGGGTATATACTAAAACTTGGTGACTTGATTAGTTTTAAAATTTGACCCTTGGGCTGCAAAGGGGCCTCTTAGTCTGACATGACATATGTCATGTATTTTGGTACGTTAAAATAATATTGATTTTTACTTTGCAAAACAATAGGAAATAGATTCAACAATAATGTATGTACATGTAGTGTTCTCAAACTGAAATTCTCTATATCACAGTAGGTTTTGTTATATTACAGCAGCTTCTAAAATGCTGCACTAACTGTTTATCACAACAATTATTTTTTATCTGCAGTTCCTTCCCTTCAACAGAGCAGACAGCTTAAATGAGACACATATTTATCACTGCTTAGTGTGAACAATGCCCCATAGTTTCAAGTGCCCCCACTTTAATATCAGTGTACCTCATGACTTCTGCAGAAGCTATGTTACTCAATAGGAGGATTTCAAACGCAGTTCAGACCATGTCTAATCTTTCCACAAACACTTCAAATAAAGCAAAATCCTTAACAAATACATATATATTATGATATATGTGTTTCATGTAAAATCGTGCCATCTAAAAAAGATTTCAAAAATTTTATATTTTACAAAACTTGAGAAAAAAAAATTATATACTGTAAATCACTTTTTATTCGCGAGAACTTTATTTTCTCGTAATTACTTGAGACAGTGTGCTCGCGAAAAACAAATTATTGCGTATAATAGTATTCCTTAAGATTATATAGAGCAATAACCACAATTCGTGAAAATTTTGTCTCCCTAATCAAGAGTCAATGACTACAAAAGGTGTCGAGAAAAAAAATTAAAATAGTAAAATTTCACTTTTCACCTCATTATCAAAATTATAAAATATTTTGGAAATTATTCTGAGCCATTTATTGAAATAAATTTTAAAATGTTAAACAGGTCTTAAGGAACTGAATTAGTGAACCTCTCCAGCTGTAACTGGTATGGAGCCTCTTTGGCAGATTTCTCTAACTTCTGTAGTCCCAGCTTCCACGTCTGAAACTCGTCAGCATTAGTGGCTGAAAAATAAATCCATACATTGAGAATCTGTTGTAAATTTATCAAAAGAAATGGGACTTTTGGGGGAATTGTTTTTTTTTTTTTTTTTTTTTTTTTTAAAAAAAACTGGATGTTTTATTATAGCTGACAGAATTTTCATCAACAAACTTCTCTTCCAGACAGTGTCAGTTCAAAACGTTCCTAAAATAAAAGTACAGTCAAACTTCGTTATCTCGAACATGATAGGGCCGAGAAAAAAACTTCAAGATATCCGAAGATTCAAGTGTAAAATACTTATAGAATATGTGGTTGGGACTTCCACTTCACTTCGACATATCCATGGTATTCAAGATATTGGAGTTTGAGATACCGAAGTTCAACTGTAACAAGATCATTGCTTCTCTTTTCTACTGAGTAAGATATAATTTCCCATTAACTAAGCTAAATTTGTAATAAGTTTCCCTCTCTTCAGTAGCACAGCTGACTCCTTCACTGTTACTGCTATAATGATGTTTTATATTATTGTTCATCCACTTACTAAGTATTACTTTGAAAAACAGTCAATATGGAGATTTATCAACCTCTTGCATTTTTATATACACTGTAAATGTACATGCAAATTTCAATTGACAATATAATCATATTAAGATATTAATCAACTGGAAGCTTCTTAAAATACAGATATTGTAGATCTGTTTGACACATAATTAACAATGACCTAGTATATAATATCTGTAGCATACATAAATTTTACAGAAATCTGAATGCAATTTGGACTTTAGCACAGAAAAACTCTATTATAAGAAACTTCCTTCTAAGTTTTAACAGAGAATATTTATATGAATCCCAGGCCCAGGGACCTTGCATTATTTATTAAGTTTTTAGTGCAGCTTGTGAGTTATAGGGAAGCAGAATTTGAAGTCCTAGTGACTTCCTTATAACTGTTACTGTATAATCTTCAGTATGACAGACTATAATATCCTCTTGTAGAATATATATATGCTATTGCACTTATATCTGGGTCAAATAATGTTCTTTATTTTATCTTTTGATTAAAGTATTATTATAAGGAATGAAGTGGCAATAGCATTAAAAGAATACTATTTCAATATTTTTTAATTAAAATCAAAATAAATTCAAGAATTGGTACAGAGCACATGCATCCTGATGTACATGGCGCTTAAATTGAATAGTGAAGTCTCGCCAGGCAGAACATCATACAGACGGATATTGTAAAGATGTCAATTATTTATACAGCTTACCGAATTTATAGTATTACAAATACTTATCAGTGATGAAATCATATACTAATTAAATGTCAGAGGGTATAAATAATTATTAATTGTGACATGTACGCATGGCAGCTTCCAATGGTTATCCCCTTAAGCTTTGATTGCCTGTACACTGAAGTACGTGTAAATCAGGGTGGGTGTCCTTCTTTAAAGTCCCAGTCTATAATGTTTCAGGAAAGACCCAAACACTCAGATTATTTCACTAAACCAGCTAAATTAAAGTTGAAGGAAATGGGCCTTGTTTGAAGGTTGCATCATCTTAACAAACTTGACAGAACTTAATTGCATTCCCAATTTCCTTGTTACAAAATGGTGAGGAAAAAAAATTGTTTTGAAGCCTTAGCTTTTATCTTATTTTCTCTAATCCTAATCAACCGATCATTAGATGAGGCAGCAGTAAAACCATCACCTATCAGCTTTAATTAAAGCAGGGTAAGAAAAAAGCCAGAAAAAATGTGCCGTCTCCCTATGAGACCCACACACACTTTCTGTCCCGCACACCAGAATTTGCCAAAGCTTCCTTGATTTTCTTTCTGGGTCACAAGGTGCAGCCTTTTATCTGGCTGAACAATCCATACTGTCAACTCTGAAATCCACAAGAGATCAATAATTTTCCCAATATCTTGTTATCAATATCTTGCATTAACCAATGCATTCCCAAGCTGCTTGGTTTTAACATTTACAATTTGCCTTCCAGCCCATAAATATTGTTCAGATGGCCAAACAGGCATTTATTTCAGTTAAATTCACTTGCTTATTGGTTTTACAAACAGGACAATCATGTTTAATTAGAATACTATTATAATACATATTTTTGTCTAGAAAAATGGTATTTTGTCATTTTAATTTTATTTTTCTTTAAATCATTTATTTTTTGTAATCAGTGCTGTGATCCATGAGATATTGATTGAACACTGTGCTGGGTGATCACTGCACTTTTATTGTTTTAATATCTATAATTGTCTACAACTGCTTTATTTTGTGTGCTTAGATTATTCATTAAGAAAATAAATATATCTGCTTGTCATGGTGGTCTAGCTTCTATACCAGAGTTTTTGTTTTGTTTCTATCTATGGTTTTCATATTGTGATTCTATCTAATGTACAAAACAGCAGAGGCCATCCATTAAAATATTCCTGTTATTTTTGTTTTCATGCCTGCCTGCTGGCATATTCTAAATATTTCAGATTTTATGTTAAAATTTCAGTGTTAAAATTTGTCACAATAAACTACAGGTATTTAACTATGCAATGCATTTTAATGAGGTCACCTAATTGGTGCTGCTTATTGTTTTTTTTGGTTTTTTTTCACAGAGACTTTTCTCCTGGCATTTTCAAAAATTACATACATAAGACCATTTATATATTTCTTTCAAAGTGAAATGTCTTGCAGATAAATTTTAATAATAAAGACATTACTCATTCATTTATGGAGCCTGAGGATCCCCCTTTATAAAATTGATCAACATTTGTCTATCTTATTTATGATGACACTGTCAATACAGGCACAAACCGCACTTCACCTGTATATGATTATGATACCCAATTTCAATGTCCATGTATGTGTGTCAAGAAAGATATATTATGGAGCAAACAGAAGATCAAGGACAAAAAAGATTGTACTGAATTCAGGCCTTTTATTTACCAGTATATATTTATTCTGGAGTGTGGGTGAGAGGGGGGATTATGCATCTAATATATATTTGCCTTATTGATTAAACAGACACATTTCATTCGTAACTTCATAGCATATTCTGGATATACAGAAAACTGTGCTAATTTTCTTCCTTTTCAAGGGCAAAAAATTTAGGTCATGCAATGCTTATTTTTCCCTTTAAAACAGAAAGAAGTCACTTCTATAGTAAATAGTCCATTACTCCCTGAGGACTATGCATTCCCTGTTGCCTTTTTTATTCTTATGATTTTGAGGAATTTCACAAAGCCTTGTTTTTCAGTTTTTAAAATTTATAGCATATATTCCTGGAAAAAGATGGATTTAGCTATAAACATCTCTCTCTCTCTTGATCATTTTCATTCAACATGTGACTCTGTAACTTTTAAACATGTCCTTGTTCAAAAATATACATGTAGTCTGTTTTTCAGAAAATAGACCAATCCTATATGACTTTTGAAAACCACAGGCATTGCTAATAAGATTCACACCAAATTGTTCATCATACTTGATAGAACTTTTTCAAAAAGTGGCAAATATAACAATTCATCAAGCAATCTGAAATTCCTTGGCCTTTCCAGTAAGCTCATAATTTCCAAGAATTATACCACACAAGCCAAGCTGCATGTATGTAAATAATATACTTGGAACTATTTAATTATGCTGCAGTAAAACGATGAACCCAATCCCTATTCCTCCCCCGCTAATCGGTGTACAGTAAATGTCAGCTATATCCCAAAACACATAGGAGGCCTTTGTCAATTTCCTATGCAATTATTCACATCAGCAAGGTTAGATAGATATCTCATCTCCTTGACTTTTCTGAATTGTTAAAGCAGGAAAAAATTTTCTAGCCTGGAAGTTGAAAATATCAAAACCAGAAGAAAGTGAAGCAAAAGGCTAATGAGACACAATGCTCACCTGAGTAAAAAGTCGAAAATTTTTTAAGTTAAATTTTAATTTTAAAAAGTTTTCAACTAGCTCTTTAATTAAAAGAAAGATTTTTATCCACTGCCCTATCTTAGCCCCATCATAATCATTAGGGATCATAATGTAAGCATAAGAAACTAGACTCCACAGCATGAGATTGATGTACTGTTCTCGGAAAATAAATAAAGCTTTTTTCCTGTATACATGCAATATGTGTAATTTGATCCAATTTAATGTCCAGGGGTCAAAAAAAATATATCACAGAATTTGCTGCTGCTAAAAAATCATTAAATTTCACCTTTTCTACTCCTGTGGTTCTTGAAATTTTGAAATCACACTCTCCTTGCCTTACCTTGATTTTCTCCCCTTGAATGTTGGTATTCTTTATGTACAATTCTGATTCCCTATTGTGGCCCAAACCTACAGTGGGGTGGGGGAAGGAGGATCTGAATCATTCTAGAAATTGGTCTATCTCAACAAACTTTCAAGTAATTTTTACTGATTCACTGGTGAGTGTTTTAATGATCAGATACACTTTGTAAAGCTTTGCCTATCTATATTATCTCCCCTTAGACGAAAACTTGACCCTTCATTTGAACCATTAAAGATCTATACAAAACAGGGCTTTTTTGTCATCCTTGATTCAATTTTGGCCCAGTCCTTATCATGAAGATGACACCTAGGGCCACTACAGTGGAAATGCAGTCATTTACTGTATAAATTTACTTTCTCTGCATATGAGCGATTTTTGCTAGGTATACGGTTAGTTATTTACTGCTTAAATTTGTCATAGTGTATTTAAAGTTCATTGAAATATAATGCGATTCTAAGAAACCCATATTATGTTATTTTCTTTTTGCGGATTGCAGATTAAACAGAAATAGTGATTTTAAAATTATGACCCTGTAGAAAAAAGCATGAAAAGTTCTTCAAGAAGATAAAACTTACCAACAACAGATAATGTCTTGAGTTTGAAGTCGTTTCCGTAGAAAATGACAAAACAGAGAGAAGGGTCATGTCTCCGCGCTTCTTCTGGCCACCGGTCAAAATCTTTACTGTTTCTGCCATCTCTTACTTCACGAACTTCTCTGAGGTTCACTGAAATGTACACATGGTAAAAAGTCAATAATCAATCTCAAAGTTTATGCATTTTGACAAGCATTCATTGCTGCACTTAGAAATCTCAATGAAAATGTCATTATTGTACCAAGTAACATTAAAAGTAAAGTGATGTTAGAATTCATTCTGTTTCACAAAATATGAGGGTGGCCTCCATATATATACAGCTTGTTTTTTGCTTCATTAATAACAGCAGACACTTTTAATAATGTACTAGGACTTACACTACTGTGCAAAGGTTCATCATAGTGAGTTAAAATATTATCTATATAGCCATGTCCAGTTGCTGGACTGAACTTTCTCAGAATACCATAACAATTTCAATTTCCTTCAGTTTTCTCTTCTTTTGAGACATAAAAGGCACCCCCTCCCCTACCACACACACAAGAGAGATCAATTGGGGATGTTCACTCCTCCTAGGCACCTGATCCCAGCTCTGGAATTTCCAGGGAGTCTGTGTTTTATGCTCTTTTCACATTTTTGTATTGTTTGTAGATTTTTATTTAGATCATGCAATCACTGTTTATTATTTTCACCTTTAACAGTATCTTTCTCACCAAAGTGCATTGATTACATTTTTTAAAATAAGTCTTTTTTTCATAATCTCTGAGCTTGTCCAATTTCTTTTCTATAGGTATAAATGTCGACCATGGCCACTTTATTTGAGCATTCAAGCATCTTCATCAAAACAAAGTAGACTGAAATATGATTCAGCTCGGCACACAGTGTGACAACTCTTTAAAATTAGATAAACTTTAAAATGAACCTTTTCTTCCTAAAGTAAACATGGGGTAATACAACCCCATTTTACCATGGTTTCTTACATATATAAAGAATTTTAAAGTAACTATATTATGAGTAAATAAGAAGGCTTGAGAATTCTAAAATCCGGTAATTGAACTATGCAGAGATATGACTTTATTTGTTTATATGTAAACATGAATCCACATGCTGCATACCAGCATAAAACATCTATTAACTCAATTACTTGGATGTAAAATCGGGGCCCTAAATTGAGACAGAAAATGTGTGCCAGTGTAGAGTATATACACCAAAGGGAAAAAATATCATCAAGTGAAATATAAAACACTTGTAAACATTTTATCAATTCTGCAATACAAAAATTTGTTTTCTTAAATAATAAAACCGCATTACAGGACGCTATGAAACTTAAATATTCACTTGTGAAATTTTCAAAAGCAATAATTTTTTTACATACATGTACTTCATCGCTTAAGGTATTTACATATGATGGATGTTAAATATATTTAAGTGTGCAACAGAAAACATTGAAGGTTCAAGATGCAAGGCTAAGATTACATACAAGGTCAAAATCTGGAGACTTGGGATGTGCATTCATGTACAGGATTATCTAACTTACAAATGTACTTTCACTATGTTCAAGGAAATGTGCTAAATGCAGTAGACATATCTAGAATGTTAGGTCAACATTACAGTTATCAAACTGCAAACTTCATGTTTTTATTTTGAGGGAAAAACTGAACACAAAATATGGGTTAGACAAAGATCGAACCACTGACAGACTGACCGAAATCATACACGGACACTATATATATATACATTTAAATCTACACCCACTTAATATGCACTGTTGGCACTATATATATTATATAAATCTATACCTCTCCCACCACAACCCCCCCTCTTTATTTTTAGACTAACAATATACATGTTAAATAATATTAACTACAGAACTGTAACTCTCTGCTTGAGAAAATTCGGACAGATAAAGCAGAGAGCTTAACAGTTCTAAATAAAAAATTCTTCAAATGTCACCAGCATGGTGTAAGTGGTTAGAGTGTCTGCTCTAAAGTCACAGAGTAAGGAGCTGATCTTTATGTATTGGGTTCGAATCCACTATGGGATGTGGAGACCCGTCCTTTGGATGAGACCGTATATAATTACAGAGGTCCCGTATTGCTGTAAGTGTTGGCACAAAAAATCCCTTACTGCTCAATGGCCCTGAGTGCCGAGTATAGGTATAAATTCTTTTCAACCCTACACTGGGAAGTGATGGCATGAATGAAAAATTCCTGAGATTGGCATTAAACAACAACAACAACAAAATCACACATAAGTTGACAATTTTGCTGCAGAGTAAAAAAAAAGTTACCATAATATTCTATGGCTTACAGTACCTATGCTGAAAGGGTTTTCTTTTGAATTTGAAAATTAGCTGCCTTAATTAACCTTCACATGTGTGTATCTAATAGAAACGGCCTTTTCCTCTGATAATGTGTCACCTTTGGCTTAGTCAAAAAGAGCAGGTGATTTTGGGGATCAAGTACCACCTGCCATGGGATTCGTATTTCATATGTACTTATAGATGTAAGCTTTTCCTAAAAAATTATCTGTTTTTATTCATTTCCATACAATGGCATTAACTTGTCAGGGCTAAAAATGCTGGTTAAATAGTTAACATATTTAACTGATGACTCAAAATATCACAGTGACAAGTGCATGTGACAAACTGTTACTATTTTAAATTTCAGCAGCCTCTGCTTCTGTTTCACTCAAAATAAAATTCTATATTACAGTTTTACAACAGTTTTCTTTTATAATATAGGCCTACAAAATAAGGATTGGTTTGACACAGCATGGTCAATCCGTAATATAGCAATGAACTGTACTCACGCGTTCCGTCGGGTTTGCTTCCCATCGCTCGGATCCAGACCAGCTGTCTAGTTTCCAGTTTCACTTGCAGCGTTTTCTTTTCTGGTCTCTTTTTGGAGAAAAAGATGGTGACCACCAGCCCCCTTTCGAGGCAGCGATAGATTTCCACTTCATTCATCGTTGTGGCCATCTTTCGCTTTTGTTATTTTTACTGTAGATTTTCAAGTCAGTCAGGCCGCATGATAAATAAATCTATTTTGACACCAATGTTTTCTTATCTACAGTTTTACACGGTCTTCGTTAAAGTTACATAGCAAGAAGGAAGTTGATTAATCCACCATAATTGTCAGGTTCTACCCTTTCATGCTTCGTCCATGTTGACGAACAATAATCTTCCGGGAAACCGATCTTATGCTAAGGGCAGTAACTCGAGTGCACACACGCGTTCGGAACACCTTTGTGTGCAACCTTTCTATACATTTTTTAAAAATAACTTTTCCCCAAGAAATTAAAAATAATGCTGAATTTAATAAATTCATGTTATGAAAAATTCTATACTAACAAATAGATCAAAAATTCTATTATTATTATTATTTTTTTTAATTTAAATTAAAAAAAAACAAAACATTTTTCTGCTATAGTGCCTAGTGAATATCTGAACATCCAAATAAATATGATGCATTCTACATTTTTTCCCCAGATGTTTGAGACTTCTTTTTCTCTCTTCTCATTTAATTCGTTAGTGTAAATGTACCAGGACACTAAATAATCAGGCTCTTCAGGATAAAATCTTCATGTTGATTTTTTCTCTCTCAAATTAAATTTCAACATTCCAATGAACTTAAGAACTGGACTTTATTTTTAAAGAACCCTGCACAAATTGATTTTTAAAAAAAATTTAAAACACACTTGTACAAAAATAAATGAAAATTAATTATACACAAATAAAAAAAAAACTTTTGGATTATTTAATTTCATTTATTATCTTTTTTTTTTGGCGCACTACATCACTGAATAGTTGAACATCCAAACATTTGTAATAAGACTTTTTTTGTACAAGTCATCACCTTTAAAATTCAAGTCAATATTTTGTGAAAATGGACACATGTATCGGTATTTAAAACAAACAATTCATAGTCATTAAACTAAAGGATTATAGTATATGAGCTTACTTTAGCATGACATTGCTTCAATTTTGTTGCAATCCTTTGCTTATTAATTCATGCAATAGATAAATGTTGGAATACAATAATACACATGTATAGTACATTTAACACAAATCATACTGAGAGCACAAGTTCATTTATACTGTGATACCCTATTTAAATATATCCACTGAAATTTAGTATACTAAAATCAATACACACAATGTCAGTCTGTGTTTCACTTTGAAGTAAAATAAAAAAAAAATGGGCTCTCCAACTAGATAATGATATTGAAAAATCAAGATACTTACTTATATTACCTCTAGGGTTCTTTTTTTAAAGTTTATAAGAACAATTTGTAGTGCATTACTACAAGTATACATAATACAAACAATTATAAATTGACTAGACCTGCCCAGTCTAGCATTGCTACATGTCAACATACCATCTGAGTAATAAGATGGTTAATAAAGTTTTGACCCCAATAAAAGCAACACATGTACAATAAAATTAACTCGCTATCATCTTCTCCCTCAGAATTTTAAACGAACCTTTTCCCTAAGTTTTAAAGTCTAATCAAACATGCATAAACTTTCATGTTTATACATGTAGGCTCATGTAATTTTATTTCAATTATTAGGCCAAAAAAAATTAATCAATAGTTTCTCAGGCACCGCCGCATCAGTTCAAAAACGGCCGCATTGATCATTTTTATTGACATATGGAAAAGGGAAATAACTCAATTTTCTATTTTTCCAACTTGTAAAAGAAAATCGAGTTATTCCCCTTTTCATAAATGTTAAGATAGACGTTTTTATTAGAAAAACAATATATTTCTTCTTAATTTACAGTACTGTATGAATTAACTTTTAAATAAATGTTTAGAATAACATTATTTAAAGTTGAATACATATTAAAACTAATTTCAGAGAACAAAAATTAAGAAAAAGTAGATATAATTATTTTATTGAACAAATGGCTTAAAAAAGGTGTAAAACTTGCTTCAAAAAAAAAAAAAAAAAAAAGCCTGCCTGCCGCATTGAAATTTGAATTTTTTGGCCTGAGAAACAATTTATTAATTTTTTTTTGCCTTACGATGTTAATTTCTTAAAATATGTTTCTGAAAAAATTTTTCCTTAAATTTACAATTATCATAATAAATACAAAACCAAGAAATTTTGACATGCAAAACCTAAAAATATTAAACAAAAATGCAATCTCATGTTAGGAAACAGAATAGATGGAAAAAAAATCTCTAAAAAATATCCTTTTATAATTTATGGTACAAGTATGTTTTTATAATAAATTTCTAAAGTCCTGAGCAGTTAAAAAGGACACTTTAAATTTTTTATTTACTTTACTTTTTTAAGTACAATTTTGCAGAATGCACACATACAAGGTAATAAACATATATTTTTTAACAGTATTCATTGTAAAAGTACAGACTGTTGATTTTCATTCAGAAAATCAAATGTGTTAACAACAAAAGCACATATCAATGTAAGCTTCATTGTGCAGTTACAATCATCAATTTTCAAATTTAAGTTAAAAAAGATTTCATAAATGGTTGAGTTCTGCAAATTTCAATGTAATACTTACTATTTTTGATTTAAAAACTCATTAAAAAAGAAAATCCAGTATATATATTTTAGTCCTATGTTTTATTTCCAGTATTTTTTCTAATATTTCTACAGACACAACAAAATAAAAATCAACAATACCACCCTCCTTGAGGACATTTTTAAAATTCTGTATAAAACTTCAAATTCACAGAAAAAAAAATAATTAAAATGTTGATAGACAATTTACACATCCACATCAGAAATACAGATACTTAGATATTTCTGCTGACTGAATTGGTCATTTTTCGGCTCTCTATAGAAATTCACTGACCCCCCTTCCCCTCTTTCAGTGCTTGTGATAATACATTTATTATTGCTGTCAATTTTTTCTCATGTGGCAGTGAATCAATTTCTTCTTTATCTGTAACTTCTGGCATCTGAATGTCTAATGTAACAGTCTGAAAAAAATGAAATACACAAGTACTTTAAAATATTGAAAAATCCCCCCCCCCCCCAAATAAAAAAAATGTGGTGTTTGAACATGCATCTAAAATACATAGTTAATCAGAGGTTACAGAGTTCACCTCAGCGTATGTGGTCTTTAAGTAATGTAAAGTCCTACATTAATTAAACTACTAATCTAGTACATGTAGTGTACATCCCAAGATGCAACATATAAGCAATTTTGATCTGAAAGGGCTTTCAGTTTCTTGGGAATGAACTTATGAACAAATTTAATTCATCCTAAAAATTTAATTCAAATTCAGCATCTGAAGCAAGTTTAAGAATGCCCATCCCTTTATGCATCATCCAAACAAACAAGTTTGTTCAGATAGGCCTTAAAGATTCTTGGTATTAATGAGCATGGAAATTGAAGATCAGATCCAGCATCCAAAACAAATCAGATAGTGTGCAGCCTTAAATGAATCATCCGTGCAAGTTTGGTCAAGGTTTGGAAAATGGTTACTTAAGAAAGAACTTGCTCCAAAACCTTAAACCTTGTCCCTCATCTAGAATATGAAGGTTGCATTCAGCATCCTATGCAAGTCCAGAAGCATGCATCCTTAGATATATCATCTATGTTTGGTGAACATAGAGCTTACAATTTCTCAGCATCCAAAATCAGCTTGGTAGTGTGCATCCTTAAATGTATTATGATTTATCCATGAAAATTTGGTCAACATAAGGGCTTATTGTTATCAAATTATGTACTTGGAAATGCAACCTACACCAAAAACTTTAACCTGTGCCAAAAAACCTTAACTTGCTCTAAAAACCTTAACCTGCCATTCCTTAGCTGAAATTGCCCGTCTGAAACCTTGACTGGTACAATGAAACATACTAGAGGCATCCTTAATGCATCTCTGATTAATGTAAGACATAGAAGAACTTAAAAAGAAAACTTCTCCAAAAATTTTATTCTGTGACACAGATGCTGCGGGTATCACCCCCATTTCATTGAGGCCAGCTAAAAATTCTAATTAAAATTAACATACATGTACTTAAATAATAAAATTAATGAATATAAGTTTAATTTATGAAAAAGTAACAGTTTTCAAGACCAATTCTTTCAAATAAACTTATAGAGAGGTAAAACTATTAACACGTACATTTCGTTTTTGTTTGACACTGAAGTTATATGCATTGGTATGGCTATTGCTCTGAACAGGACTTCCATCTAAGGACATAAGAATCTCTCCTGGCTTGGCCCTCCTAGTGTCTGCTGGGGTCAGTGGGACCCTTAAAGTAAAGAATATACACTATATTCATATCATTCTTCATAAACCTTCTATATTCTAGAAGTGTAGTTTTTTAAAGTTGTATTGTATACATGTACATATACATGTCAATATACAAGGTACATGTAACATGTATGGAAATTAAAGTTCCACTTTGTATTTTACATGTACCTGTAAACTGGGCACAGGGGGGCAGAATTTACAAAACCATACACTTCTTTTCAGAAGCATGGTAGACTGGTTGTTTAGAAGTTTTCATATGCTTATCAAAATAATGTCGTGTCAATTTTTGTGGTATTCTGATAATATACATGAATAAAATCTTTTTTTGTTTATCAACATAAATACAAATACACATAAGTGTATACACAGACACATGTAAGTGTATCTATACAGGCCAAGAGAAAACACTGGAATATTTCATAGAAAGACCAATAAGACAGATTAACATTTCAGTGATGAAACAGATAAACATGACAATCAATTCATAAAAGACCAATAAGACAGATTAACATTTCAGTGATGAAACAGATAAACATGACAATTAATTCATAAAATTGAAAAACTCAAAGATCCCACCACCGTCAAAAGCTCACTAAGGCCAGGTAAAATTAATCTTTAGATTCTCATCCTAATTTGCTAAAAAATTGGGGCGGGTGGGCGGATTTTATTTTTTATTTTTTATAATTGTTAATTTATATATAGGCCTAAGTATCAACAAAACAATGGACGCCACGTACACATTTTTTTTCATTACCTTAATGCAAATATGAATACATTTAATTCTTTTCATATTCTTTTAAATATTTAAAGAATTTTTTTTCTTTAAAAGTTAAACATTTATTGTTAATTAACAAGTTATCAAGTACACATTATACGGCACACCCTGAACAAAATGAGGTAGGGATGCCTGACTTTTTATTTTGCAAAATCTAAATAAATGTTCTAATAATTATTCTACTGAAAAATCTAGGCCTTCTCATAAGTCTGTCTACGATGTTGTAGATTTTGTTTATTTCAAAGCAAAGTCACACAGCTGGAGATCGTTATATATAACTTGACCAGGTGTCATTTTACTCGTCTATTTTTACTTAGTTACAATCTCTCTACATACTTGCTCCTGCCAGTGATGGTATCTATATGTGTTTATGCTATTTTTTCTTCTCTGCCTTCTCTATACTGACAAATTATCTTTTCCTTACACATTTAAACTTCTTTTATTGCCGATTTTTCTCCATTCTTCACATGGCGTTTTTGCTATTAATAGCGACACGCGACTTTTAATACAGACGGGAGATAACTCTTAAACTTTGAACCAAATTCTTACTGAATAAAAATACATGAAAATACCCAAAAATCAAAATAAAAAACATCGGGGCGGGACATTTTGAGAGGGACGGGCGAGGATGAGAATCTAAAGATTAATATTATATGGCCTAAAACCCATCTGAAAACACAATATTAAAAAAAAATCATTAGGCTACATAAAATTGAAATTCTGGTTCTCAGGCTCATGCACATCCTTTTGAGGTAGCCGCATAGCGAGTTTTAATGTATTTTTGATAAAATAAAAAGTTGGTATTGCGGAGACCAATCCAGAAAAAAAATTCCGTCCTAATTTTTTTGTAGTTTATGACTACTTTGTTTGAAAATATATTCAAGGACATTGCCTACGATGTTCACAAGCTGATAAACAATGGATAAAGCAAACCTTTTGATCAGACATGGAAAGTATATCTATGAATAAAAAAAATTATCTTTATTTTAAAGAAAATTTGAAAAATTAAAATTAAAAAAGTACCTCCCTCTTCTACTTTATTGCCAATAAAATGATAAATAAAATGCCTCCCTATCGCATCTACATGTATTTAGGAGAAAATTGGCCTGAGAACCAGAAAATTAAATTTAGACAGCCTTACTCAAAATGAGGTTCAAGAATTGATAAGTTGTCATTTTCCATGAGTTGTCTTTCTTTGACTTGTGTTTTTGGGAGTTTTTGAATTCTGATCATGTTGATATTGATGAATTGTACCTATCTCTGAGTTAAATACGAGTCATGTGTCAATGAGTGAAAAATCTGTGCAGACCATATACAGATTTATATATAGTTTCTTACCTTGGATCAAATTTGGGTGTAACGAGTGGTGTGTTGGACCAACCTGCATCAGCTAACGTACGATTAACTGGGGTCATATATTTTTTCTGTGCTGATCCCAAAAAGCGACTGCAAGAGTAAAATGAAATACTAACACTGATACTAGTTCTGCACACAAACAGCACAACATTGATTACAAACTACGTCAATAAACAGCTTCTTCCATGTAACAGTTGCCATTGACAAGGTGACCATCACCCTAAATGAATGCTACTGTATATACCTAAATATGCGCAAGGAATACATTATTGTGTAATTTGGTGAGAAGCACCTCTTACTAAATAAAACAACATCCTTTTGTTTTTATGTCGCTGAAATCAAAATAAAATCTCTTGATCAACTGTCTACTCATGAATTACTCATGATTTGACGGCTTAGGGACATTTCTCTAATAAAAAGGATTCTCGAAAAGTAAGGAATCAACAGTATATGATAACTGTGTATTGTAAAATATGTGGTACATAGAAAATTGGAAAAGGAAAATTATCAGAGCTGTTTCATTACCATGATTAAAATCATTATAAAAAATTCTTAGAGCATTAAGGAAAATACCTTTTAAATGCAACTCCTGGAGATGGTGGGGGCATGAACTTTTTGGCAGAAGCAAATCTCTTCAGCCCAGGGTCTGGCAAAGTTCTCTAGAGAAAAGAAATGAAAGCTCAGGATATCTATATTGCCTGAATTTATATTTGCTTCATTCAGTGAAATACCTGTATTTATTATATACATGTACCTAACATGTATCACTCAATTTTACCGTAGAATTAACGCAATCACATGACGTCATGATCCAACTTTCCAGATCACCACACTGTGGTTTTCTGAATCCATATCACCACTCTCTGAAACTGATGACGTAGTACGCAGAAACATGAAGTTATTTTTCTTGCGATTTAAAAAGTCCATTGTTATTATGCTTTGTTTTATGGATAAATATTATACAATTGATCTCCAAAGTTTTATTTTGCTATATTTAGCTAGTTATAAGGGGGTATATAATAAATTTATCACTATAACAGTAACTTGATCCGAAGAGCCGTATCACGTCTCGTTGACAGGCGTGGATCATCAGATCAAACTCGATGCTTCGCGTCTCGTTAGATCTGATGATCCGCACCTGTCAACTCGACGTAATACGACCCTTCGGATCAAGTTACTGTTATTATAATATATATGCATCAATGCAAGACCACCAACACCATAACCCTAGCTTAATTGGGGATAGATTTTTAATATTTTATGAATATTTATATGGTCATTTGAGCAAAGAAGTGTTTTAATTACACTATTTTTTTTGGCATTTATATCCATGCATGTACACATGGTGTTAAATTTCATTTAATAAGACAGGGGCATAATTCATTTTAATCCATAAATATGTACTGTACTGGGTTATTTTTGCCTTTCTGCACTTCCGGACAATTTTGTCCCGTTTTAAATTTGCACAGTCATAATTCTGTTTAAGAAATTATGCTGTGCTCTTTGCATTCGCCCAGCTTTAAATTCTCCAGACCATGAGGAGGGCAAAAGGGGCGAAACCAAAATGGGGGCAAAATTTTCTCTGTATAAAGTATTCCTTTCCTGTTTTGTTTTTTGTCATCTACAAAGTATAACATATATACAGAGTCCTCATCTAAAACTGACCTTGTCCATTTTGTTCCCATTTTCTGTGAACACATCGTCCTCCATTATAGTGTCTTGAATGTTCAGATTTGTTGCTTTGGCCCGTGAACTACAAATAATAATAACTCAATCACAAGTACAGTTATGTATTACGACCCACAACAATTTTATTGAGGATCAATTTTGGATCAACCTATGCTTCATGGAATTCTATAGCTGTTTTTCAGCAAACTAGTATTCAAATATTGTTATGCCTTACAATTATTGTGACCTCTTAGCACTCATATTTTTCACATTCAAAATGTGTCAAAAACCAAACCTCAAGCTGACGCTAAACCTAGAAAAAATTTTGGAATGGCCTATATAAATGATTTTATCTTCCAGGTCTTACAAATGTCTTCTCAGGCTTGCTGGAAGATCTGGAAATAGCTCCTCTTCCTCCTTCTCTTCTTCTCCATCATCCGCCTCCACATTTTCTTTTTCTGATTCTGGTTTGCAATCTGCAAGTCCTGTTAAACCAAAGCAAAATATGAACAATCTATGGTAAAACAAATGCTAAAAAATATATCAAGCTTTGAGACCATCACCTTTATATTAACAATAAAAAACTGGCAAAAATAAATTGAAAACATGATCAGATAAAACAAATACCTGCATATTCTTCTAGGGTCATTTCAAGGTTCTAAAATTAAATCACAGGAAAACTGAGATGTAATAGAAAAAATTTTTTTACATTGAATAAGAAATCTGTGAATGTACACTTGCATCATTATGTTAAATTAATCACTATTACTTATACTTCCTATAAATATAAATCTAATATCAAATAATACTGGAATCGTGCACTTACTGTTTTTCCAAGTTTTTGTATTTCATATTGATGAAAAAGTCGGAACTGTTTGAACAAACTAGACCTAGTCTGCTCAAAAGACTGTAATTTTTTCTCAACTGTAATAAGAACAAGAAAACAGGATTCATTTCAAGTAAATAATGCTAAAAATACACAGGTATATAATAATGTCTATCTGTCAAAAATTGTCAAATTTACAGTAAACTAAAAATATTTACACATGAATTTATTATGTAACTTTGAGAAAAGACTTTCAATGCAGACATATGTGACACATTCAAAGGGGTTCTTTATTAAAATTTATCATAGACTTGTTACATGTATGAATACAACTGTTCATATAAATAAGCTCTAGGGCTGCCACGGTTCAGACATTTTTCGGTTCAGTTCGGTTCAGAAAATAAATTCTCGGTTTTCGGTTTTTTCGGTTCGGTTTTCATTTTGAGAATTTAAATAAAACATCTTTATATATATCAAAGGATAATAAGGATTAAGGACATTGTAGAAAGTACTATTTTGCTGACACAAATTTCTATCCATTTTATTCAACAGAACAAGTTGTTAAATGTAACAAAAAATAACAAAGTAATAAACTTCTTGTTTAAAATAAAATAAAATAAATATAGTTATTGACTAGAGTTATCACCAAATCACAAGTGTGGGAATACTTCACGTTTTTGAAAGTAGGGGACGTGGTTGACAAAACAATTACTTGTGATTTGGTTTTCCTTCCACATGTGTATGCCATGTTTAAATGTCTTCGATGTTACCTGTATTTTCATTGGTTAAAGAACCCTTCATTGAAATAAACAACCAATCACAACGCGTGTTGCAAGCAAATTAGTATTATAGAAAAGATAAAAAAAACCGAACCGAATTCCGGAAAACGTGACTCGAACCGAACCGAATGCCATTTCGGAGCGGTTAACCGAGTTTTCAGTTAACCGTGACAGCCCTAATAAGCTCTATATTAAACTACAAATTATTCTAAGACACTTCATAAATCTTTGCCTCACCCATAGTATCAAAATCTTTCAGGTACATCTCTAATTTTTCCCTTTTTTCCCTGTTAGTGATTTCACCCTCATCAGCATCTGAAACCCTTGATGTTTTCCGGGTTTTTGCAGCCCGTGTCACTTTTCTTCTTGGCATTTCTATATTCCAAATTATTTAAAAGCTATTAAATTACCATATTATAATCACAGAAATGAAATTTTGAATTTACATATTCACTTTTTAAGGTTCACAACCTACAGGGTAACAGGGGTCAGTAATTATGTCCCTTTCATGATGGTAGAAGGTGTTTTTTCTCTTAGCTATCTTGAAAATTTTCAAAGAAAGAGCATTATTAGACTTAAAAGGATGTCTAAAGCAAAACAATGAAGCAGACATCTAATTCATTTCAGCCCATATTAAATTGAAACAAGCAGTCAATCCAGGTACAAAACCCCAAATGAGATTATGTTACATTGCTCTGAGATCTGGAAGAGACATCTGTCCAAAATTTGTTGTCTCGACAAATCTCGCTGAGATTAGGAAAAAATAACCCGCCTACTTTAGCGCCAATTTCTGGACTCTGAAGCATTTACTTATTTCATTATCATAGTTCTGTCCCACAACAATGCGGAAGAAAAGCTCCTATGGATTTCATCAACTGTCAGAGAGCTCGAGAGACAGATTATTCTCTTAGCGAATCAAATAATTAAGAAGGAGAAAGAGAAAAACAAACATGCTAGACATAAGTAATGAAGGCTTACATTTGGTGTCAAATAAAATCTTAATCTTATGGATACTCTGGTCGTTTTTTATTTATTATTTTTTTCTTGAAATGATTTAGTTTACATCCCTAACGTAACTATATAATCAAAACATCTCTACGTTACGTCTACATTTTTAAAAACATTTAGACACCAGCCCTTGTAAACACACAAACATACTTCAATATCTGTATTTTTCTCATATCTAATTAACATTTACAGGGGTTAATTTTAAAGATATCCATGTAATCCATCACTTACTAGACTAGAGTCTACCTTTTTACCGCTTTCATTTGAATTCTTCTACGTAGAACCACGAATGAATAGGTCTCACTAAAAGTTCATAACATAAAACGTAGTAATGACCGATATGAAGATCACGTGACAAAGTTAATGTCGTAACTGTAATGATAAGAGAACTTTTTCCCGGAAATCAGTATTAAAAGAATTTACGCAAAAAATTAACTGGAGCCTATAGATATACTTATTTTATAAGACATATATTATAAGCTAAAGATGCTTTCCAATTTTTACGAGGTAGGATTTTCACGTTTTGGCGAGATTACGTTTTTTTTTGTTTTTTTTTGTTTGCCACCGATTTTTGAGTTGGATTTTTTTTTGGACTGAGGTGGACCCCCCCGGAAAAATTCCTGGATCCACGCCTGAAAACATTCCTTATATTTATATTTTCCATGTCTTAAAGCAGGGGCCTATATGATATATATGTCTCTGCTTAAAGCATCAAAAATATACTTAATATTTGAATTTCTCGCTGCCCTATTTCATGCATAAGTGACCTTGGCCCCCCCCCCAAAGAAAATGCAGATCCCCCCTTAAAAAAAACTTGGATATGGTTTTAAAAGTTGGTATGAAAAGTCATAGGTAAGAAGATTTGGAAGTCAACGACTACACCCCCACCCCCACGAAATAGGATTTTCACGTTTTGGCGAGGTAAATTGTTTTTTTTTTTTTTTTTTTTTTTTTTTTTTTTTTTGCTTGTCAACAAAATATTGGGTTGGATTTTTTTCACGAGGGTGGACCCCATCCTGGAAAAAAAATCCTGGATCCGTGCCTGCTATTTTGTTGCATTTTTCTAACGATAGCAGTAGCCACATCCAATCCCCCTCCTCCAGTATTCTTTTAAAGGAAGCATTCATACAAAAGCCTGCGGAGTTTATACTTGTATTTTATTATGCCCCTGGCGTTATCGAAGATAAGAACATTTTTTCCTGTCGGTCGGTCGGTCTGTCTTGTCCGTGTTGTCTTGAGTATACTCGGCTTTCTTTGGGTGACAGTATTTGCTTTACCTTGACCACAGAGTTAGAGAATTTTTTACCTTTGTTATGAGCTGCCACACGGGGGAATCAGTGTTTCATGAATATATCTTGTTTGGTCCAAAAAAATACACAGTCGGTAAATTTTCACTGAAATCAATGATAGTTGTATGCATGCAAGGTCAAGAGATCAAATATCTTGGTACCTTAAGAAAGAAAACACTGACTTGTCAAATGTGAAAGTCGATCGAAAGTTATTGACAAGGCTATAGGTTTTTGCGGACAAACAGAAATGTAGCGTTCAGTCTTTGACCATAACGCTACCATAACGCTACACACCCCGTTATACAAAAAATGTGCAATTTACTGCGCAAGATTTATTGCGCACTGTTTAGGAGATTTTCTCCTCTTTCTAACATTGGTAAATCATATACCTTTTCCTCCATAATTCTAGACACATTTTTGAATAAATCTTTATATTTTATACACATCCCAAACCTTTAATATCGTCTCTACAAGCGATAAACTTGCTAGAATTATAATTTTCTGCAATCTTTAAGTAGTTCAAGCCAGTTTATCGCCTGCAGAGGCGACTATAAATTTTTTAAGGATTGAGAGGAGGATAAAATATACAAATTGGTTTAAGAACGTGTCTGGAATTAGGGGGTAGAAAGGAAGAAGATTTACCAAACTTGGAAGGTGGAGGAATTCTCCCAAACAGAGCGCAAAAAATCTTGCGCCGTAATTAATTGCACATTTTTTGCATTACGGGATCTGTAGAGTTATGGTCAAAGACAAATATATATAAAACCATAACGCTGCAGTTCTACAGCTATGTATAGTGGGGTATGTATTATCCTGTGGAGCGATTATTTTGGGGGGTTTACGATTTTTTCCTATTTTAGAGTTGATAAATAAATGTAATAAATATAATTTTTGAAAAAAAATATCCAGCAAGCCCTGGGGTTGAATATCGGTAGGGTGGGGGTGGGGGGCTGTCCACATTTTATGACTCAAAAATGCTGAAATCTTTTTCAAATAGCCAAGTCAAATGTTAAACACATATCTATATATATAAACTAATACCAAACAATTAATATCATCAGAATTTACTGACAACAATCTAAAATGTACTATAAAAAATTAAGTGCATGTAATATTTGAAATAAATGAAGTCAAGTAAACAGCGCTAACAGTTTTAATTAACATGTATACATTATATATGTCATTAAATAAGTATGTATAGCATCAATTCTTATTCTCATCTTCGCTATAGCCAAAGGTTTCTTTTTCGTTGCTCTCCCCACAAATCCTTTTTATGAGGAAAATAGCAGAAATTAACCCTTGGCTAGATGTCCTGATTCTTTGGTTCCACTGTTTGATCCGCGCCACATTTATACACTGGTACATTGTATGATTGCTGCCAGGCGGTGGGATTTGACCCCGCGGCATTTGTCAGCCAACCATTACAATAGAGAGAAACAAATCATCTAACACGCTCTGCTCTGAACGATCTATATCTACTAGCCGTGTTTCTGTGTATAAGAATTAGTCCATTTTGTGCAGCAGCTGAGAGGAGAAGGGATGCTCTGGTTTCTCTAGGAATGCCCCCTGTTGTGAAATGTCTATCACTGCCGTTGGATAAGGGACTTATTTCAGCACGATGAATCTGGTGGGGAAAGTGGCGCTGGTGACGGGTGGCGCCCGGGGGATGGGATATGCGTTCACCGAGGCCCTGCTGGATCAAAAAGCAAAGGTCAGTCTGAAATTATCTGTTTAAATTGAATTCGACGATAGAACGAGACTTTAATAAGTATATATTTGAAGTACAATTAAGTTATGTATATGTAAAAGAAACTGTTCATATCAAATAGAAAAACTATATACTAGTATTATTGTATTAGCACTATAGGTACATGTATCGTGTTTCTTTAGTTGTTTCCAGGAAGGTGTAAGGAGAACATTACAAAAATGCTAAGAGTTTTTTTTTATTATCTTTCTGTTTTCTTGTTTGAATTTAGATTTCAAATGTACACCTACTGTGAGGAACATTTGATTTCTGATCACCAAACACTGATATCTATATCAATATACATACCTTTCCCCCCAAAAATCGTGTTCAATGCTTTTTTTTTATTTTCATTTATCACATGATCAGTAACTTCATTAACTTGTTTAACATTCAGTTAGGCAGGTGATATCAGAGATTTAAAAAAAGGGGGGGTCGTAAACTAATTCAATTGCACGACAGATTCATTTAGATTAAGGTCATATGATGAATTTTATATATCTCAGAGAAAAATCTTGTTTGTAACAAAACAAAAACAAAGTTATATTTATGAATGAGTGTCGTAAATATGACATAACTTTCTCACGTAACTCTTCAAGATCCACTTAGAAATTTGTAATTTTATCTGACGCCTCTGAGATCTTTTGCTACAAGTACTCAATGACGAGAGTTACGCTAGAATATGACAAACCCTTTTTACTGTTGAAAAAAATCTCCCAACATTAAAGGAAATTTAATTAAGCCCTTTACATGTATATCATATTTATTGCTGTACAAAAACTCTCTTCCATGCATGCACATCGATGTGAAGACACGCAAACTAACAAAACTTAACAAACTTTTGAATGAAACATATATTTATTTGAGCAGTTTTATCGGAGAGGGGGACTTCAAGATATTTATCTTTTAGTTCAGAGAAAACATTAATGTAAAAAAAAATCCAGATAATCTTTTCAAAATTTGTGTTTTTTGTCATTTCCCTTCGAGAAAGGGCGGTGTATTTACTATAACTCGATCTGGTTTATTTTTTTCTTTCAAAAAATAATGCTGTAGAGGTAGATACCAGAGCAGTGTTAAATGAAATGAATCAAACATTTACAGCATATTAAAACATGCTCAAATACCAAGAGACCATCTATAAATGTTTTTCATTATACACTGTACTTTGTTTTTGAAGTTTATTGTCTGTAAATCACCGGAAACTTCTTGGCCCAACTTTTGAATGAGAACAGATTTCCATCATGATACGCTTAACTATAAATATTTGGGTGAGGGGTGTTTAGACGTTTAATTCACAAATACCCTGCAGACTTTTTGTTGTAGGTGTGTTTTTGTGACATTAATGAAGATTTGGGATTGAGGTCCCTCCAAGAGCTAAAATCTAAGTTTGGAGAAACAAATGTAATGTTTCAAGTATGTGACGTCACCAGGCAACAACCAATGGAAAGTGAGTAGGATTATTACAGATTGCAAATGATTTTTTCAAATTATTTAATTTAACTGTCATAAATTATCTACCATTGCGTTTGATAAAAATGAAAATTTAAATATGACATACTGTAAATAACTCACGAAAGCCAAATTTTTGCAAAAAATTATCCTACAAATTTCAACTTGTACAAAATACAAATCACGATGTCCCAAAATGAGAGAATCATTTTTCTCACTTATAAACTCGCGAAAACTTCCACGTACAATACCTTATTTCCAATATGACTTTTGGACCGACAGAGAAGTGTATAGGTCTAAATTCTTTAAAACTGGAATTTTTTTTGAATGTTTAAAAAAAATATGATGTTTTTCAAATACTGTACACATTTAACTGGACACTCCATGTATAAAGCAGCATTGCGCCAATAAAAACTACGTTAGAATTCCTGAGTGACATCATTTACGCTTCATTCACACGATGTTGATTAACACACTCATATTTCTACAAATGACAGTAAAATGTCGCGACCCAATTTTCCCCTCGGATTAATGTCAACAAAAAAGCTTAATAAATAAGCACACAGCGCATTTGAGATTTTGGCAAAAGAACATAAGGAAGGTCTCTAATTACTGTTTTTCAGCCAAACTTTTCAGGGGGAAGGAACTTTCATTTGAAATATGAAGACAACAGGAAAGATTTTTGTACATTTGCAACATTTTTATCTGTTTTGACAGAAAATATCAAGGCTTAAGAACATAAATAAGACACGTGCTTCTCGTTTAATTGATTGAAGGGATACATACGGAAGGATTTGGTTTTATGTGGCAAAAATTGAACAGCTGGCCGAATAAACAAAACATTTCCCTAATAATCCCAATATTTAACAATGGTTTTATAAAACAGAGAATATATATACTATGGCGATTTTCTTAATCAACACATTTTATAGATTTATTTCAAAGTGTCAAAGAGAAGTTTGGTTGTCTTGATATCGTCTGCAACAATGCCGGGCTGGGCGGAGAGACATATCCTTTATGGGAGAAAGCGATTGACGTTAATTTGGTGAGCATGCATGAATCTCTTCTGAAGTAATTTACCCCTTATTTCCTCAAAATGTACTCGCAGGAGAATTTTTTTTTATCTATAACGTCTCGTTAACACGAATTATCAATTGCAACTGCCACGAGTCAAAGGCAAAGCAAAAACAAAACAAAAAAAATGACAATGCACTAGGTAAATTATTGTTAATGAAATAATTCAACGGAAAAGCACATGTCAAGTACATATTTTTCATTATGATAAATTCTCCGTTAACCTATTCAGTGCACAGAGAGAAAACGTACCGAGCATCAGTCATATTCGAAACTGAAAGTATTTCAAAGTGCCGAAACCATCGTATTTACCCTTTCAGTCTCAATGGACACTGAAACTAGATGGATCGTCCTTCTGAGAAAAAAATATTAATTTTAAGGAATTTCCCATTTTTCATTGAAAACCGTATTATTGCCAAGAATAATTCTTACAACTGATTAGAAAAGTAACTGAGAACCCATTTCAGAGATATGCATGAATTTTTTTGAATACATAGAGAATAATACATACCCTTTTCCATATCACATCCTGTATCAGCCCGAGACACCAATATCAGCCAGAGGGCCGAAGGCCCGAGGGCTGATATTGGTCGAGGGCTGATACAGGATGTGATGTGGAAAAGGGTATGTTTTATTATATTTATTACATACTTAGTAATAAAATACAGTTGAGAAGAAAATAAGTAAATAATCATGCATGGACGTCTTACATACATGTACATAGTCTAATGTCTCATAAGATTTGGGTTTGTTTCTATTTCTATTTCAATGCACTTGATCCGTAATTTGAAAATATTCTATAGTATTACATGTATTTGTAAATTAAGATTAACCTTATTTTCAAAAAGTTAAAATTAAGAGAATATGAATCCACCAAAAATTGTGTATGAGTACAAGTACTGTTATTGTGGTTTAATTTACTAAGGGTGTGATATTGACGTCACAATAGCCGTATCAGCCCTGCAGGGCTGATATGGATTTGCAGGGCTGATACGGATATCAGCCCCGCAAATCCATATCAGCCCTGCAGGGTTGATACGGCTATTGTGACGTCAGCCATATCGCATATGCAAACAACCTGTATTTATTACTAAGTGTGTAATAAATAGAAATATTGCGTATATGATACACATTGATTCATTTGATGGACAGGGACGAGTTTTGAATATTATCAAATTTAATATTGGCTTATTTAAATTACGTACTATACTACTATACTGCTGGTACAGTGTATAATATGTAATTAACTAAAATCCTTTGTGAAATATTAACAAAAGCGTTTTATAACCAATATATCATGCCGTGTGTTTTCGGTCTTCAGGCTCATGCAGAGGCCGTAAAACTGCGATGAGCTCTTTTGATCTAAGTCTCACTTTTCCACTCTTTCCCTTTTGAAAAAGTGAGACTGAGATCAAAAGTGAGCTTGACTCAGTTTTACGGCCCGGAAGCCTGACGTATTTTCTTATGACAATTTTAAGAAAGTAATGATTTACATTTTTAACAAATCAAAATTGGTCATTCCTGGCACTTTGCTATAAGCATGATTTACTATAGAGTTTAGGAAAATCATTTTATGGTTAAGACAACATAATACAGTAAAACTCGGTTATAGCAAAGTCACTAGGACCTATAAAACTACTTCGCTATATCCGTATAAGGAATACGTTAAATTCACACAGCTGGGGATCTACGATAACTTCGCTATATCCGTGAATTCGCTATATCCGTGTTCGTACTAAACGAGTCTTACTGTATTTTCTAGAAAGGAACGACCAGGGGAACATTGCTGGCTCTGGAACACATGAGGACAGACAGAGGGGGAAATGGCGGCGTTATCATTAACGTGTCGTCTGCAGCAGGTACATATATCGTAACTTTGTCGTATATTACAGTTCCCCGGGATCATAAAATCATATTAGAATAATGTCAGAATTTCATTCACAAAAATTACTTTCATCAACTTGCACCAAAATTAAAATTGACAACACAAAGTAGGAAACTATATGTAGTTGTTCTGTTCTTAAGTTTTGGGACACCATTCAACTTTTGAAAAATCAAAACTGCTTCATGATCCTTGGACCAGAAAAATGTCTTTTTATTGAAGAAAAATCAGCTAAATTGTAGCAGATTTAAACATTTTGTTACGAAGGAAACACCAGTAACGTTGTTGTACATGTAAGTTATATACCAGATATCGTTTTGGCAAAACATCAGACACATACCGAATTTAACCTTTCACTAACCTCCGTTTTTTATTTACAAAGTTTAACTGATTTAATCACAAAACTACACTGAAATTGAATATCAGTATATCAGATTAAAAATTAAAACAACGGTAACCCTTTGTTTCTGCCAAACCGTTTTGTTCATTAAATTTTAAACTTGGAGACTAAACAAAAATATACAGTATAAATCGCTGTTGAGATTCGTTGAGATAAATTGTATTTTGAATGAAAACTGCGAAGTTCTTTTAAATGAACCATCTTCCATTTGAGATGAAGATTGTGTTATCATTTCAGGTTTGAACGTGAACCCACTATCCCCCGTTTACAGTGCAACAAAAGCGGGCATTATAGCGTTAACTCGAAGTTTGGCGGTAAGAAATAGATAACGACTCTGACATCTATAGCTCTATATTCCATCAATCTGATGTAAAGGAACGTGAAGAATCGGTACATTGAACTTAAATTTGAGTAATTTTTGAAAGTGCACGTGTGTTTAGGGAGATGCGATGTAATCGATCATGTTGAAGATGATAAAAACACGGTAACATGCTTATTTTTACTGCTCATTTCATGTATGATTAATTTTCTCATAAATCTTAATTAAGGAAAACGTTTTTGTCAGGTTTAAATTGAATAGCAGTGTAAAACTTAAACAGATCTATACAGCGAAGAACTTTGTTTTGTACGAACAATTCTCGTATATTTTACCCAAGATACTTAAAGAAAAAAAGTTTCTTCAAGTATTTAAAACTTTTTATGAGTATCTTGCTGTCACAGGAAGAAAGCGGTCTTCCAAAACTGACCAGAATAAAATCTATCTTAATGACAGTCAAACGAGTTAATGTAAAACAGTTATATTGAAGCAATTTTACTATTATTTGTACTAGCACGTCACTCACATTTAGAACACCCGAGTGCAAGGCCGTAACTAGGCTCAAATTTTTAGTGAGGCAAAGGTGCTGGACATTCTTAGTCCCAGACGGGGCAAGTGTAGTATCTGATGGCCAATGATAGGCTTCCTGGGGGATCCTGAAACCTAGGCATTGGGAAAAAAAATCTTAGAAAGTTTTTATGTTTCACTTTTGTCGACTGCATGACACAGTGGTTAGAGCGTATGCTTATGCTCTAGATTCGCAGAATAAGGAGTTGATCCTTACATCGCGGGTTCGAATCTCACTTCGTAATATGTATAGAGACCGGTCCTTCGGATGAGACCATATAACCCGAGGTCCTTTGTCACAGTATGTGATGGCATAAGAAAGATCTCTCACTGTTCAATCATCTTTAGTGACCCTGAAAGCCCTGTACAGATTTAAATCTTGCAGCCCTCCACCGGCAAGTAGTGGTGTCTCAATATGAATGAGAAATTCTTGGAAGGTTAACATGCGTTTTTAAATGAAAAAGAGGCACCTGGTGAGCTGAACGATTTACAGAAATTGAAACAAAAGTTGAAAATATTAATTTAGCACTAAGACACACATAATTCATAAGTTCAATGTTAAACCTTTTCCCCTTTAAGAAAACGCTAAAAATTTAGTGAGGCATTTGCCTCACTTGCCTCACTGGTAGTTACGGCCTTGGAGTGATCGACCCAAATACATGTAAAATATTGTTACCAAGGCAGTTTTCGTCATTTGCCAGGAACTGCAGAACAAGTTTAAACAGAGTTTACATCTATGGTTCCATCTTAGTGGCATTCAGAACATTGCATTTTTCAGAGAAACACGCTTTTCTTTGAAAGTGAGAATTCTAGATAAGTTATAAGGGCTTAAGGATAAGGCGAAAGTCTTCCAAATGAAAATTCCCTTTGGACGTATTTGTTCCTTTATACAAACGATCTCTTGATCACATTGATGAATGAGAATTTTACCACAGTTTTGAATGCTAAAGTCTCCAAAGTCTACGACTTAGCTTTGCCATTAGTGTTATGTTGTTCATAAATCACCTGGACCTCTTTGAGACAAGAAGTCTACATGGAATACTGAGCAAAGAGCAAAGAATCAAAAAAAATATTTCCCCTATTTGGATCTAATGGTGAATAAAGTTATCAATAGTTTGAAAATCAATTGTATTACCACGGTACATCTGGAATACTAGTATATTCTCCATTTTAAATTTCAATGGCAATTTTTTTTTAAACAAACTACATTATGTATTTCAATACATAAATTCAATATAATGTTTAGCATATCCCCTCCGACTAGGTTACTTCAACAATCAAGGACTGTACATCGAATAGCTTAAATTATCAATACCAAAAAGCATCTTTGCAATAGGAAATTTTCTTTGAGCATCATAAGCAGATCTTATAGACGATAATAATCGGACTCCCGTCTTTCAGATGAACTCTGATGTGAAGTCTGCCGGAGTAAGACTTAATGTACTCTGTCCAGCCTTCGTTGACACAGATCTGGTAAAGGAAATCAATGAAGAGAACTGCTTAGACGTCAAGAAAGCCCAACAGTTCGTGAAGGTTATCGGAATGATAACGTAGGTACATGTAGTTCATAGAAATTTGAGTGCATGCTAACATCAATATATCCGTACCATTATTTTGCAGGAATTTATTAAATCCCTTTTTCTGATCAGAGTTTTCGATAGAATTTTTTTTTTGAAAAAGAAACAAGTTGCTCGAAAAAAAAAGAGCCAGTAATAAAAGTGGTACTTGCAAAAGAGTTAATAATTTCAATTATCATATACTTAGTAGTAAATACATCGATTCTGCACGGTGTGATACAGGTGACCTCACAATACGCGGTCCGAAAAGCCATATCACGTATCGGACCGGCGGGCCGAAAATCCATATCACACCGGAAGTAACGTTTGTTTAAAGTTTTTAAGTTAATTTACTTGATTTTATTTAAATATACATGTAAAACAATTCTTAAAAAAAAAATTTGGACTTAATTTCTTTTTTCAGTCACCTAAAATTGGGTCTATTAAATCAAAAGAAAAAGGTCATAAACAGGCACAAAACATTCTTCAATGACTCTTTGTAAACTCACATATTAAGTTTTTTAAATATATGATAAATAGAATACTACATACTAAAATCCATATCATATGTAACATCAGCCCTCGGGCCCCATATCAGCCCTCGGCCTTCGGGCTGATATGGGGCCACTAGGGCTGATATGACATAGGATATGGATTTTAGTAATATTCTCTATACATTGTTTCCGTAGGAAAGGAAAAAATTAAGCAATGGCTAACTTCTACCTTCTTTAGCATGATGCCGCAGAAATGCATTATTTACTTGATAGTATCCTTATAAATAACAAATACATTTTATGAACTGAAAAGTTTATAGTAAAACGAATATTCCTCATTTGAAAGTAAACAAATCTGACGGTTGTATATAATGATCGATTCAGGTCGAAGAAATCTCTGTCGGCCTTAATAGTAACACGTTTTCATGTCAGTTGAAATTGCACAGATATAACACATGTTTTTTATCACTTTAAAATAAACAGTTTAAAAAATATTTTTTGAATAGGAAAGAGGAAGCCGCCGAGAGTTTCATGGAACTGGTTTGTGACGTCAACCAAAATGGAGCCGTTCTGAAGTGTTCCAAAACAGATGGTAAACAGTACATGTCGATGGAGGCGAAACCTCTGGCATAATGGATACTGGATTCTTTGGTTTCATATGAAAGTGCAATAATGTCCCATATCTTTGTAAATTAATGAAAATACTCCCTTGATAAAGAAAGCGTTAATACGATACTGTGAATATTATACACACTGAACAGTACCCGTATTGCTAAACGGAACTTAATGGGAAACACTGACACAATCAATCTATTTGAATTTTCAATACATTGTATAATTGTTAAAACTCTTGATAGCAATCATATTCTCGATCAGATCATCTGAATGATAGTGACTATACACTTTCAATCAATATTGATATTGTGTACATTATTTTTTAATGGTATTTTTATATGTATTTTGCAAAAATTGACATGCACCACGCAGGGTAGATTTCCCCTTCAGATGATCTGAAGGACTTTGAGACTTGTGTAGTATTATACACGTATGTTTATATATTATTTATATTTATTGTATCGAATATTAATTGATATAACCAATTACCTATCGTTTATTTACATATATACATGTATGTTGTAAATGTACCATACTGTGAAATGTTAAAAAAGAGTTTTGTGAAACTTCGTATCTGTAAGTGCAAATATAAACGCAAAAGGAGAATTTCCAATTTGATAAAAAAAATTACAAAAGATATTTAAATCAATATTCTTGCAACATTTTTTGTATTCGCTTCATTTAGGAATACTGCCCAAGTGTAAATTCATTGTGACTGAATAGCCTTACTGAATGAGCCTTTTTTAAAAACTGAATTTAAAATGCGTGAATTGGATACTTTCTAAAAATTTTTACAACCGTGCAGTATTGTTAAAAAACTGAATACCTCATTTTTGCATTTTGAATTAAAAGTCAGTATTATTTTTTACATGTATTTTATTAGGAGAAATCAGTAGTCAATGGTGTATTTTTTGTAACCATTATAAAAATATGTTTTAGTTTAATATACATGTATGATTTGTTTAGAGACAAATGATTGTAAATTCTTCAAAATAAAAATACATGCAAAACATTATGTTGAATGCAGAGGCAAATTTCACCGTACAAGTCCTGAATGAGAGAATCCATATCTTCTTATGGAATACTGTATAAAAAGATTTGGTTAATAACTTTGTCATTGAAGGTTGACTTCAAATAATGTGCAAGAAAAAAAATTTTTTTAATTTATGTAACTATATAAATAAAATTAAGTTAAAAATTGATAAAACTATAGATGTGAAACCGACTCAGTTTCAAAATAATTTTTAAAACCTGTAATACTAGTACTTCAAAATACATGTATATGTATCATTTTGATTATTCATATAACATAAACGGGAATTTTTTCGTCTCTTGTATTTCGGATAAAAGTGTTTTTTTAAATAAAAAGATATTTCAACATTTATATTATATGCCTATTCAAAACTTATTCCCCACCTTTAACGCTTCACAAATCTCTACATCTTTCACCGATTTATCCGATGACAATATGAACAATTCAGCTGAATGAAAAACATGAAAAAGGTAAAATACCAAGTTAAACCACACTTGGAGGCATATATGGGAAAGGACAATGGATTTCTCTTTCCTTGTTCTTGGCTGTCCTCTCCATCTCTCCTCAGCTTAGATTCATTTTTTTACGGTTCGCCTCCATGTTGTTTTGGTCGGCCCTTCCTCCTTTTTGCTTCTAGGGGCCATCTGAATGCCACTCTTGTAATTTCAATTGTTGAATTTCTTAAAACACGGGATATCCGTTTCCATCTGTATTTTCTTAGTAATGTCCTCTTATCTGTTGTTTTCACTGTTTCGTATAGATTTTTCAGTTACTTTTTGCAGGCCAGAATATCTTCAAGATCTTTCTGAGGCACTCATTATGAAAACTTTGTGTTCATGTCACTTTATGTCATATCCTCCAGCATTTAGCACCATACATTAAGACAATACACAGCTATTATACACTTTGATCTTAAATTATCTGCTGATGCTGTTTGATTTACATATATTTTGAAGCTTGTCAGAGGATCCTCTGTCTTCGCCTAATCTTGCTTTCATGTCTTTCTCAGCATCGCTGTAACAGAGAATTTTGACCCGGGCCATTCGATGTCACTAGACTTCTCAGGTGTGTAAAATGTATTTTTAATAGTTTTCCATTCAGTTGCATTTAAGTGGGGTTTTTTTTATTTAGGGATATTACTTCTGTTTTCTTTATGTTTATGTTCAAACCAATTTAGCTGTTATTTCTTTGCAAGTAGGACAATTTTCTTTGCATTTGTGTCTCCAGGTGAGAGTAAGGCTAAGTCATCAGCATAATCTAAGTCTGTTAGATTACAAATGTACTGAAAAGAGACAACCTGATGCATGCATTGTTTCTCTACTGCTATGATGAAAAATAGGACTGACCTAGCTTGTGTTTGAAGAACTACCGATAGAGCATTTATATTCTGCATAGAATGAGTAGTGCTAGTTTAGATGTTACCTTAGTGCCTTAGGATCTTCCACAAGCAATCACTGTGAATGCTATCAAAAGTCAAAGTCAGTAAAATTTATGTGTTTTTGCCATTCCGTGCATTGTCCTGTTTCTTAATATAAAATTACTTGGTTACAGCAGCCCTTTCCTTTTTTGAAGACCGCTTTTTCTTTCCTTAACTTGTCTACTGCTTTATTAATTCTATTCACAGTTATTTTACTAAAGGTCTTACTTGGTATAGTAAAGTAAAACCTCTCCAGCTGTTACATTTAGACCGCGTTGTTCGCATCATGTTACAGAAAAGAGGAGGAAGATAATTTGCTGCTAGTATAGGGCCTGCTTTGTCGATTTCGACTGGTAAATTTTTATTACTAGGTGATTTATTATTAATTCTTTCAAGTTTAAAGTCTTGGTTGCTGTGACTATTTCCAATTTTGTAGGTTCGTCTGTGTTGATTTCTAAGTCGATGTTTTCTTCAGGTATTTCTGCTCTGTTGTTTGGGTCTGAGTGGATTAATATCTCTTCAAAATGTTCTTTCCATCTTTGCTCTTGCTCTTTCTCAGAGGAAATCATTTTGCTCTATTTATCTCGTACTAGTATGCATGCAATTCTTTTTTGTCCACTCAGTTTTTTGGTGATTTGATAAACATCATTTCTGCTCTGATGCTGTTTTATTAATATAAAAATGCTTTGGGAAAAATATTAAAAGGCCAAACAATTTTTAACGATAAAATGACAGCGGGGACCAAAGGGGAAGGGGTAAATTGATCGATCTACGAAGAAAATTACTTTAAATTCTTAGGTCCGATACAAAGAAAACGATTTTGCCCTCCCCATGAAATTGCTTTCTACGGGACCGTCCAAAAACAACGAAATCAAGGTAAGTTTAGGCATTGCTTTATCCTGTGTATTTACAATGAGGCTTTTTAACTTTACATGCTTGCTTTTATCCTACTGGATTTGCTGTACACGGTGACTCGGACACAATGGTCAAGTCAGGATGGAGACAGCGGTGAGTTTCAAAGAAGCAGCTGTAAATTAAAAAAAATCTCTGTGCAAAAATCAAAATACCTGTGTTGGGTAATTACGTGTATATGTAAACAACTTACATTAATTTCTTGAATCGATGATTAAAAAATATGTATACCATGGAGTATTGACTGCTCAGATTGTAGCTACACAAATTACTATTGTTAGGATAGTGTGTAAGGAGAAATGTTACTATACCAACTTACTGATTAATATAAGTATGACCGTCGGATGCACAGACCTCTGCAAAGTCATCATTACAGGGATGTGACGTCACTGTCTTGCAGAAGAGATCAAACACCAGTTCCTGTCCATGAGTCATTTGATGAGAATGGCTGTCGGCGTAACACGAGCCGTTGTGAGCAAGATGAACGTAGGGATGCTTACAGTGAAATTGCGCAAATTCGCATCTGA